TGGGGCAAGGGCGCCAAGCGAAGGCGACGTTTCAAACTCCGTAAGATGCGTCGAAGATTCCGCAAATTGTAGATGTTTGATTCGGATTGTTGTTAATCTGTTTATCTCTCATCTTTCGTAATTTGCATACTTTTTTTTCGCTGAGCGCTCAGGTGTTCATACTAGATGCGTGCGTACGCACACTATCAGCGCGCATGTATGAACACCCCTCGCTGTCACTGTCCAAACTTCAACACTGCTTAATTCACGCTTTCAATTTGAACAGGGCCATTTCATTGTATTCTCTTCGTGTGTATTTGTGTTTGTGTTTGTTTTGCTATACATTTTTATAGTTCTATGAATTTTAATAGCTTCTAATAGTGCCAAACACTGATGGCACTCATAGGTACAGTATCACGTTGTATAGCGTTTTCTATGGTTCTTTTTCTCTTTCTCTTTTCTCTCCCTCTTTGAACTTGTGTTTCAAAATTTCCAATCCTGCCAAAATGCGCCAGCTTTCCGGTGTTTGCTGAGTTGCTGCCGAATTCTCTGGAATTAATAAAGAAATTTGGTGCTTTATAATATTTAGAAAGGTCATTTCTTAAAAAAATATAGCATGGGAAGCTGTGCAGCCCCTATGGTTTAATTCTTCGAATTTATTTTGCTTTGTGAAACGGTTCGATTGCTTCCACTGTCTTGACCAGGATGTTAAGGACTGTATTTCGCTGAGGCCTGCAATACAAGGCCCCTACTCTTGTCAAGCCTAAGTGCGACTTGGTCAACAGACACCATTTTTAACTTTCAAAACTACTGTCAGGACCGTGAAAGCAAATTCATTAAGAGTAGTTCATGGTTTTGCTTTATTTGCCACAAACTCAAAAGGTCCAGGTTACATTACGAGCAGTAGCGTTCAGTAGCGTTGTCGGCCAGAACGTAACTATTTGCTATGGGATAGAAACTCATTATAAACTTTTTTTTTACCTATTTACAAATCCTGTTTGTCTTTCAGACATGAGGCATGATGTTAGTCAGTGATGGTGATTCTCATGGGTACAAGGCATCAATATCTGCTGCCCGATTAGTGGTCGATATTAGTTCAATCCCCGTCTTATCCGCCTAAAATTCTTTATTGCTAGCAAGTCGGATCAACAGTTCTCCACAAGTACAAATCAGTCACACAGATATCTCTCTCAGCTCTACTGGGCAAGTCTAGATTGCGACCATTATACTTTGAAGGCTTCGGATTTTGCTTGGGCCGGTGATCAATTTCAATAAACTCCATTTTTTTTATGGTGTGTTCACGAATGCTTGGCTCATCCTATTCAAATGTGTCGACCTACAATGATTCTACCAATGAACCTCTTCGTAAGTGGGAGTTTCGATGGAATAGTGGCTTGTAGTCATGTAGTTATGACCTCGACTACCGCAATGAAGTATGGACTTCTCTACCAATCAATGATGATCCAATGATTTCGGGGTTTGCACTGTTGACAGACACCGCCAACACCACCCGTCACCTTCGCAATTGCTTTTTATTGTAGGCACACTTCCGGACGAGTTTACGCCCTGCTAGTCTTTACATCGAGAGCGCAATGAAATTCTTCTTTGCTATCACGACATTACACATCATTGACTTATCAAACCGTTATCACTGCATTTAGAGAAACCGGTCGACGACTTCGCACCCCATGCTGAGCCGTCAAAGTGGGGTAGGAGACGCTCTAAGAAAGAACTGAGGCCTGGATGGGGGACAGGTGGGTGATGGCTATTCTTGCCAGTTCCAGACACGGATGAATCTTACGTTGACGAGAATCACAACGTTAGCGGCTTCCATGCTTACTGCGGTTCCGGGACGTGGTAAACTGCAATGGAGAGTGCAAAGGCGGGGTAGATGGATCACTTGTAAGGTGACAGAAGTGGGAAAAATGGTGATGACTAAATAGGGTAAAATGATTGATTGATCCTTTCACATGGTGATTATATTAAAACTGCTCTTGGTGTGAAGTAACAAATACTGTATATCAAGTTGGGTCCCTTTGCATTAGCGCAACAGGGGTAGGGTCAGCATCAGGATAAACTGTGGTATCGCAAAAACCGCTCATCGGTAGCCCCTTTCACCTTCTTCCACCACTTCTTCTCCCCTTTCAACAGGCTCCTGACCCTTGCTGTGACAGAAACTATGGAAACCGAAATTTTGATAGTGAGATGAAGGAGGCTCAAAATGGCCACAGAAAGGCTCGAACATCCCCTTGGAAAATACGTAACTCTAACAGTTTCAAGGAAGAACTTTTTCAGCCATTTCGCTAATTGAATGGTTCAAGCTTCGATGAACCTCCTGCTGGAATGTATCTCGACAAATCACTAAGTGATAAGGTGTGCAACGAGTAGAAGTATCAGTCTGGCTGTATTTATGTTTACGANTTTTTCAGCCATTTCGCTAATTGAATGGTTCAAGCTTCGATGAACCTCCTGCTGGAATATATCTCGACAAAACACTAAGTGATAAGGTGTGCAACGAGTAGAAGTATCAATCTGGCTGTATTTATGTTTACGACAGTAGTCAAGGAAGGAATGCCATTTGATAGAGGGAGAACTCACTGGCTGGTCGACGTTTTTCAACGGGGATGCTAATCACAAATCAGGTACGAATTATTTTAAGACGGTTACTTGCAAGTCGCTAGAAGACGTTGTATCGCAAGAAGAGCTTAAAAAGGCTACAGTTACGTGATTACCAGTTGGTTAGGATCAGAGGCTTGCTTCAAAGCTGTCACACCATCCTCACTTGGGCCGGCCAGTCTTTTTGCCGATCCTGGAGTAGCTATCTTGATGTAGTTAAAACTGCGGTATTTAACAGATCCAAGATTTGAGAAACTCAAAAACAACAGAGAGCATCTATTCGGCTAACTTTTACGTAATTGGAATGAAATGGTTTCAAACACCATGACCACACTGCGGCACACCGTTGATAGCCATAGTAATGTGCTCCTTTTCAGCATGAAAGGCATATGGCCGATGTCGATGCTGCGTATGCTAAAGATCAAGGGCAGAACCCAGCCCACTCGAAGGTGAGCTTGGTCTACTGCCTTACAGGACTTTTGCAATTCCAAGCCTTTACATCTAATCACCTCCCAATCCATTTTAGGTGCGAGGCAAAAATGCTCCACAGTATCTCGACAAGGGAACGTTGCTTTCGAAAAAGTATCGTCTTGAGAAAATGATTGGCGGTGGAGGATTTGGTCAGATCTACAGAGCTATAGACATCGTGAGCTCGATCAAATGTTTAGTTTTTTTTACAAAACAACAGCTAAGCCTACTGTGATGTCAGGACATGGGTACGGTGGTGGCAGCAAAGGTAGAACCACAGTCGGAAGATGCTGGACGTATGGTACTCGAACAGATGGTGCTCACAAGACTTGTCGGTACACGACATTCACCCAGATTGGTCGGCTTTTTTGTATTGAGGCAAATTGCAAAGTTCATGAGGTCCCGGAAACTCGTAGAAATGTACAGTTCGAGGTTGTAAAATACTGAATACCGATGCTACCAATTTCAGTATGCTTCGGGATGGCTCAACAACTACAACTTCATCGTCATGCAAATGCTTGGGCGAAACCTAACTGAACTACGTAAAGCACAAGCAGACCGTCGGTTCAGTGTGCATACGGTAAGTGACTTCCTCATTAAACCAACGCAGTTCTATAGGCTCATAGCTCTTTCTAAACTCATCTCCTATCCTCTCTGATCTTCGGTGTTTTCTAGAGTTCTCCGCTAAATATCCTTTAGACTGAAAATTGCTTGCAAGCTAGGGAATGAAGGCGCTCTTCTTATCTGTCAAGTGTTCCATAACCAACCAGTTGCTTTATGATCGGCCATCAATGAAAAGGGTACCTTAAAATTGCCAGTTCTGCTGTCTGCTTATATTTCCAGCACTGTTGTCTCTAATTTCCCTTCGATCAGAGACAATTTCAGCCCGAATGTCTCTAGTAAAAGGTAACAAGCATTCCAGGTGGGGGTGGTCGAATGGGTGGGCCAGCTTCTGGCCAACCCATTCAATATGTTACTCACCATTGATTTTGAGCCTGTCAAAGAGGTGCCAACCAATAAAAGTTTTAGTCCTGGAGCGTTATTCAATCCAACCAGAGGGATGCGCCCACGCATTGGACTTTCATTAGGAATCGTAGTGTCGAAATGATGCATGTAGTGCCTATACAGTGACTCGCGGTGGACAGCCGATGTACAACTCAGTACTTTTATCCTCCCGGACGGGTCTGGTACCCATCCAGCGACCCGAACGGATGGAAGGCTTAGTTGGCCTGGGCGGATATCGATCCNGGGATTTGAACCCGTGACCATACGTGTGTGAGGTGCGCCACTTGCCACTACACCACCACCAAGAAATAAGTAATGGAACATGCATCAGTCTTGAGAATCCTCCCCTTGTAGTTGGCTCGTCCTTTATTGGCTTCGTATGGATCTTGTAGACGCATGCTGAACATGAAAATTTCTACTGAGGAACTAAGTGCAGTGTGTATGGCCCATCCTGAGGGATCTACTCTGCAAAAAGCTGGCTTTTTATTATTTCAAACTTATTCTTATTCATACTTGCTTTAAGAAAAAATACTTAATAAAGAAATATATTGCAGACGGTACGCGTTGGGATGCAAATCATCGAAGCATTGAAATCTGTTCACGATTTAGGATTCCTACATCGGTAAATCTGAAAATCATTTCGACTTGTTTCTGTTAAGGCTAACTGGATGGCCACCTAGCTCAGAAAATGACCTTCTGGTACGGGTGCAACGTCTCACACCCCAATCAAAAAAACGTACAAACTTCGATTTGACTCATTGCCAGAGATGGTACTTACGAAATCTGATTGCAAGCGTAGGGGAAGACAAGCCAAGTGAAGTGGGAGAACCTCCGAGATGGCCACTTTCCACCCCCTGAAACCTCTATCGAGACGCGAGTTGGTCTGTGGAACATCGCCTGTCCGTCCGGATTCCCTACTTCTTTCTATTAGTAAAATCCAAAAACTACCTTACCTGGAAGGTTTTCAAGTTTAATTATGTGCTTTCAGAGATGTCAAGCCCTCCAATATGTGCGTTGGTATCGGTGAACATCGACGAATCATCTACCTTGTCGACTTCGGTACATCGTTCTCCTCCTTCGTTCTTCCGCATTGACGCAGTTAGATAGTCTACTGTTGGAGGCACGGCCGAATTACATGACACTGGGAACAGGTTCCATAGAGAACTAATCAAAATTAGATTCAGCTACCCAATCTACCATACCATCAATCCACATCTGAACTACCAAGTCCTACGAAAAACCTATTGAAGTAGATCGGATGCTCGAGGTGAATGGTGGGGAGAAGCATGCTCTATGGCGCTACTTTTAGGAATGACACGACAATTCCGTCTTCCCAACGGTGACTTCCGTAAGGAACGTGCCTACGCGGCTTTCAGAGGAACGATGCGTTATGTTTCTTTGTCGGTTCATGAGCGTAAAGAGCAGGTACGGTTCTGCCAATCGGAACTTCTCGGCAGTCAGAAACGATGTTTCCTTTTAGGGGCCAGTAGATGACCTTTGGAGCATTTACTACACATTAATCGAATTAGCTGAAGGCTCCCTACCATGGCGAACAATCACTGATCATGATGAGATATTTCAGTTGAAAAGACGAATGACCTGCCATGATTTATGCAGGTCAGTCGATCCGAACCAGAATTTGAAGTTATACGATAATATGGGCACTCTTGCAGGCACCTTCCACGTCATTTCGAGATGTTCCCAATTCTACTCCGAGATCTCTGCTATACATCGATTCCTGACTACGCGAAGCTCACCCAGGCACTTAGGGTAAGTTCCATACATTATCTACAAAAGGTTAACCGTAGTAAAATCAAGAACTACTGAACAAAGGCCCGAGTAAGGTCTTAAAGTGAACACTAAAGTTATATATGAGGGATTGTACCAATATATCCCGGAAACAAAGGCGAAACTCCGTACCATCATTTGTTGGGATACTCCCGAACACGTCAGCGTTTACCACGCTGTTGCGGAAGGGATAATTTCTGGCCCGACACATTTTCTATGTGGGGATCGTTGCATGGCGCATGCTCAAAAACATTACTAACACCTTCGATACTTCTCGCCCTTTCAATAGCAGTGACGATTAGAAACATGAAGCAAGGAACGAACTAACAATATCTTCAGCGATGCTGTAAACTTGTCGACGACGAAGCTGACTTTGAATGGGACGACGAAAATTCGGCGTATTCCCACTAACCCCTCCCATGAATAGACGGACAATTTCTTCTGAATTTACGTGTCATGCCCTCTTTAACCTTCCTATTCATTGATCATGATTCTCATAAAACATTGAATCCTTTAAGTAAATAAGCCCGCAAGATCCAATGATTCGATGTAGATTTCATGAATAAAACAGCGTTCATGGAATTCGTTCATAATAGTCAGTCGCTGTATGACAACCAAATATAGCAAATTTGGAAAGCGAGATCGGAAATGCTATTTAACTATGCACAAAACCAGAAGAAAAACCGATGACAATCAAATATTCCGATTAGTATCATGCAGTATTAGTGCATATGTGTACAATTATAGGTAAGCAACCAAGTTTAGAAATCACTTTTCCACAAATGAATCGAAAAATCGGACTCCAGACCTGATGATGCGATGATGTTCTGTGTAGGGTGACAGTCAGTGGCCAAAACGACATCCTGTTGGCAATCGATCGTTTGTACAACTTCTTTGGTCTGCAGATTCCAGATGTAGATCTTCTTGTCTTCAGAGCCCGACACAATCCATTTCCCACCAGTTACGGAGAAGTTCGAGAAAATACAGTACTTCTGGTTCACATGGCCGGTATAGGTCTTCAGACATTTGCCTTTTGTAAAGTCCCACAATTTCAAAGTACTGTCGAGGGTGGACGCCAATATGTACTTGCCGTTGGGTGAGAATTTCACAAACGCGACCGGTGGATTATCGTCGTCAACCAACGTCTTCACACACTGCCCATTCGCTGTTTCCCAAATCCTCACTAAGCCATCATACGAGCTCGAACATAACAGGGTGCCGTCACGATTAAAAGACACTGCCGAGACTGGATCAGCATGAGCAGGTAGGACCTTTGTGCAAAGTCCCGTTCGCAAGTCCCAAATCCGTACAGTTTCGTCGAAAGATCCAGAGGCTACCATCGTACACTGAGGATTGTATGCACAACAGAAGACGTAGTTTGTATGCCCTTTAAGCGTTTTTATGCATTTTCCAGTTTCGACCTCCCAAATTCGCACAGTCTTATCATCAGAGGCTGAAGCCAGAAACAACGAGTTCGGACTCCACGCCACATCGTTAATACCGATTTTGTGTCCATTCAACGTCTTCATCGGTTTGCCATCCTTCACGAACCATACACGCACAGTAGTATCAGCTGAGGCAGATGCGATATACGCACCACAAGGCGAGAATTTCAGTGACGCCACTGACTTCTGATGGCCATTTAGCGTCATCAAAAGGGAATAGTTAGGCAAACCGGGTTGAGATGGTGGAGGGGGCTGGATCGGCGTCGGCGCAACTTGAGCGGTTGGCTTTGTCACTCCTCCTTCAGCATTGGCAGCAGCAGAAGCGGCAGCGCTCCCATCAGTTTGCCTTTGTTCAGTTGAAGCGTTCGCTCCATCGACTTCCATATCCATTGACTGCAAAATAGTGCAGAAATGTAATCAAGTTCACAGCGCCAGCAACAATTACCTGTTGTTGTTGACAAATTTGTTGTTTCAAAATATTGATCAGGGTATTAACCCTATTCCTCGACAGAGAGAAACAATCTTTAAAGATTTTTATTCAGCATAGAAAATAACTTTAAATTACATTTTCCAAATTTCAACAACGCTGAGGATCGCTGACGATGTAGAAACACTATTTATACAAAGTGATGACGTACAATTACGTTTTTCTTTTTTTAGCAGCTGGTCTTTCGAAGATAGGTCGGACGCCAGCTGAAAAGTATACGCTAACAATAAACAATAAACAAGTATTGAAACCTTCAAACAAAGGCATACAATTCGAATTCACTACTTAATCCAGCATCCAATCCGAATGCTACAAAAAATAGTGAAATAGATGAATAAATTAGAGACAAAAGTAAAAAAAGGGCTGAAAACACTCACCGGCTTTTTTGTTGAAGAACTGTACATTGAGATTGTTTGCGCTTGCCCATACACCTTGATGATCAGTAGTGTCTTCATTTGTGAGATGCGTGTATTTCGTACGTGAGGCTTTACCAAAGTTTTTCACCTAAGATGGGGGATAAATCCTTCTTAAACATTGGTCTTGATGAATCAGTCTACCGGGATGGTATGGGAATCTTCAAAGCTCATGCATACTAAACTCATTAATCATTGAAAGTATGTCAGCCAGCAAATAATCTATGTGGGAGCAGCTGTTTTTAAAAACTCGACCGACCTGCATAACTTTAGGGAGCACCGTCTTATCGAACACATCATCGGCTGTAGCTTCAGCAAAGTTCCTCTTATACACCTCATCTTCCTGATCAAGGTAATACGCACCACGGTGGTAATACTTTTGCAAGAACTTGTACTTGCCTTTGACGGCCTAAAAGGTAAGTAATAAATAAGACGTAATCAGATAAAGCAAATTGGGAAAATATGGAAGTCAAAGCAGAATCTAAAGCCTAGATAGCATTACCTGATTGGTAATAACTCTTGGATTAGCCCGCAAGTACTTCAATCGTTCCTCTTCTGTCATGTTATGAACGCGTTCGAATTCAGCCTTCTCCTTTGCCAACTGCTCACGTTCTTCCCTATACAAGAAATTAGATTAGTTGCACCATATATGGCAGCATTATTGTTTATTTTTTCTTCCTACCTATTTCTTTTCAGTCGTTTCATTTCTCTCAACTTCCATGTCTCGTAAGCAACGTTTTCGCTTTCGTCATCAGTAGGTACAGAACCCAACTCAATATTCTCCTCCTTTTTTCGCTTTTCCATCTCATCCTCCTCGCGCAATACTTGTTGTACCAGCTATAATGATGGGAAAAACTCTTGACACAGAAATTAAGAGCTGCATGGAATGCTCACCCTTATGCTATCCCGTTTTCGTTCCTCTTTTTTCCTCTCTTCCTCTTTTTTTAGTAGCTCCTGCGCCAGTTTTTCTTTTTCTGCTTCGAGCAGTGTAATGCGATCTTTCTTGCGAACGAATACCTGAGCAAACATCACACTCAGAAGAAATATTAAGTGAATTTGGTAATGACCTCACCGGTTTCAACCGAGGTAACGTGTCGTCCTCCTCTTCCTCACTTGATTCCTCCTCACTTTCCTCCTCCTCTTCTTCTTCATCTTCCAATTCCTCTTTGATTTCTTCCTGAAACGATACAGAGCTATATCGCTTTTTCCAAGAAAATTACTCAAACAGAATGAACTAATTCAAGCGCTTACCTTTGCTTTGATTTCTTCATACTCCCTCTGCTTGGCTCGTTCTCTAATCATTTGTCGTCGCCGTTCAAATTCCTCTTCATCACTTCCTGCGTCATCATCCTCCTAGATGCAATGAAACGAGCAATATCACTGAAGTGCGTGAAGCATATGCTATCATTTTCTGAAGCCGTTACCTCCTGCTGCTGTTGCTGCTCAATTTCTAATCTTCTCAGACGAGCTCGTTGTCGGCGTTGCTCGGCGGCTTCCGCATCACTGTCAGACTCCTCCTTCGCAAGGATCTAAATGATAAGCACAGTGACCTTCTGTGGATACGATGTACTTTCAAACTATGGTTTTATTCTGATTGAAGCGCTGGAGACACCAGGTTGAATCTATGAAAAGCCGAATTCACGAAGAAGGAACAAGGTCTCCTCGTCTACCTCAGGTTCTTCAATCACGCGGCTGCTTTCTTCGCGGTGTCGATCACGACGTCTCTGTTCTCGGTCTTCGTCTTTGTCACGTCTATGTCTTTCTTTTGGCCGTTCTTCTTTGTCAAACCTGCAATCGGTTTTACTAGGGTCCTTGCTTCACGCATAAATAAATATCCCTTTATAGTTATCACCTGCTCTCCCGTCGTTTCCTATCGTCCTTTGCTTCATCCTCGGAATCAGTAGCATCATCTTTTGCATAGTTCGGCCTCAAGAAAAGGTTAATCTATGAGCGAAAAGACGATCCAATGCCAAAACATAGGTTGCTGTATGACAAAACAAAATTGGAATGGCTCCTAGATCGGGTGAAAAGAAGGATAAACAGCGACAAACGCAGTTTTGGCTAAGTCGACATGGAAATATCGAATGGTAATGCCCTTCAACTTGTAGACTTCCTCTTTAACACTTATGTTGAAGCTTCCACAAAAGATGCACATCCAAAAGAATCAGGCTAGAATATCCTCTAACTTTCTCCACTCGTTCGTTATCAAACGCACATTAAAAAGAAGAGCGCTGTTACAAGTAAAAGGTTTTGGACCACTCATTGCCAAAAGATCGAACTAAGCTCGATCAAGACGAAGTTTTCTGACATACCGACTTCCACTTAGAAATGTGATAACAAGGAATATTAGGAAGAAGGCCAAAAAACTCTAACACCAACTCACAATTTTCCCGCGATATATCGTTGTACTTTGACTTTCTGCATGACAAGTTGTCCTTTTTCATTGCGAACTGGCACAGCTCCCAAAGTTGGGAGACGTTGTGGTCCATAGCCTCTCTGATCACCTTCACGTTGTTCAAAACGAGGGATGTATTCTCCCATTCTTAAGAAACGGGAAATGTACATTATTGAAATTTCAAGGACGACGGTCAAATCATGTTCGGAAAACTAGTAGGAATAGCTAGGACGTGCAAAAGAGGTGACAGCTTTTCCGGTTGAAAAGTTCCTTTACAGTTTTTTACACTGATATATTTAAAATACATTGTTTTAGATCTCGATTATATCAGTCGAAATTCTACTAGATCGTCCAGAAAGTTCCAATTTTTGTCTACGAATCAAAAATAAAGAGCAAAACAACAAGAACACCACGAGCTATAAACGAACTGAAGGAGATGTGTTGAAAATGTAGAAGGACCGACACATCTCTACAATACTAGCCCAAAAAAGCGATATTGTCATAACTTTTCTCATAGAAGACAAGCACTTGTAAGGAAGTTTCTGTGTTACAAGTGAAAAAACCAAAATCGAAACTTGGCAGTAAAGAAAGAAATAAAACGAACACGCTTCCAAACCGAAGCGCTCCGACAATAAAAACGCGAACCTCAAAATCGGACGTTGCTCACAAAGACGCGGTTGCGCCGCGGCCTTTGTGCTAGAGCTCAATATTCCATGGTAGGTGAGGTGTGTGTAAGGCTACATCACTTTTAACTCTACTTTTGTTCTTTTCTGTTCGCCGCTGACACTTTCTATCTTTCTTTCTTGCGCAATGCCTCGACTTCATTTTTATTGACACGGGAAAGTTAAAGCCCAGAGACTGAAGAGGGGGCATTCGGAATTAAATACAAAACCAAGAAATCATGCATGGATACCACTCCTCCACCTTCTTTGTAACACTGAATTTGTCTTATTGATGGTGTTGTTGTATGAGATTCTGAATTTGTTGATGTTGAAGAGATGTTGCGACAGCTCTACACGAAGCTTAGAATATTGTGCTCTGTTGTGAAGGCCGCGGCGCGACTGCTTTTTCATTAGTATTGTCCCAACGAAGCGTTTAAAGGTAGACGACCATTCTTTGTACAACAAAATCAAAACCTGGCTATTGTTGCTGGGCGTGACGCTGCTAGTAACTCGCGCATTTTGAAAATCAGTGAATTCCTCGATTTCTGGCTTGGTGTGGTCCTTAATATCTTGAAATGTTTGCGAAACAGATGCTCTAGATCAAGTTGTCCGTAGGCTGTGCATTATAGGCACTACACTACTGTATCCGAATATGCGCAGGCCCGTGTAACTCTAGTCCTTTTGGTTTCTTTTTCGGGTAATGTTTCCCTCTATGAATCTTGTCGTATTCTGGCTGATTTTCTTATTCTAACAAATGATTCCGATCAAATCCTAAACCATCAGGACTTGACTTTTTTGGTGATTTGCTGTGTTCTTCTTTTGTTTTGTCTCTTGACTAGAATATTTTCCAGTCCAGTACTCAAAATTTAGCTATCATTTGGACTTTGCTCGATCATTTTTTTCGGCAGATGTTTCGAAAACCCAAAGTGAAGGGAACGGTGCGTAAGCGAACCGACGGTTGGGACGACAACCAAGAGCAAGGCAATGAAGCAGAAGCTGCCGCTACGAAGAAGGAGCCTGTTGCTGCGAAACCCGCCGTCGAAGACGTAGAAACGCCGGTACCAAAACCACCAGCTCTTCTTAGTTTTGACAACGATGAAGGTGCTGATGCAGCATTGATAAGATCCATGTAGGATCTTAGCTAAGGGGCCAATAATCTAATGGACTCATCGATCGATCTCCTTTGCTTACATAGCTATTTCAGGAGCCGACGCCGATTTTGTTTTAAAAAAGAACAAGAAGAAAGTGAAGGAGCTCAAGAGAATCCAGAAGCTAGAAGAAGAAGCAGAAAAGGAACGAATTCGAGAAGAGGAAGAACGAAAGAAAGAACTGGAACGAGAGAAAGAGAAGAAGAAGAAAAGTCGCGAGAAGGAGCGTGAGAAAGAACGTAGAGATGCCAAGAGTCGCTATCTTGATAAGTACAGGGATTGTTCCAGCAAGGTGTGTTTATTGACTATACCTCTTTTGTGGCTGAAGTTTCAAAAATGTTTGATTTTGTTAAGGTGAAACCTCCTCTTCCTGACAGTGATGATGAAGTAGAGGCGGATACTCAGTCCAAATTTTCTGGAGCTCCTTGTATGTTCTTTTTATCCTTGAAGCCAGTTGGCAGGATGATCAAATAAATTAAAACCAAGCATCCTTGGTCATCGAATACTTTCCAGCAGAGATTCCCGATTCTCGTGCTGTTTATGAGGCGAAGAAAAGGCGTGAACGTTTGAGAAGAGAAGGTCGCGAAGGGTTGGTTATCGGAAACTTTTCATCTTTAACACTCAAACATAGTTGAACTTTTCACTTAAGAATGATTCCACTGGACGACGACCAAAAACTGGTAGAAAAAGGAACACGGGCAAGATTGATCAGAGAAGATGAAAACGATGATTCCGATGAAGAGACGCCAAAGTGCGTTATGGCTTCATGCCAACATTGTCGTGTCTCGTCCTCAATTTCCTGAAAATTCAATATGATTAGGTTTTATTCGAAGAAGGATATGCTTCGGGATGAAGAGCAACGGCGAAGAGAGGAACAAGGTCATTTCCTCGAACAAGAACAAGGAGATGAAAGAGACGCTGATGAAGAGGCTGATGAATGGGAAAAACAGCAGATTCTCAAGGCAGTCAGCCGCCACACGGTATATTCACACGTATCTCATTTGCTACTCAACAATTCAAACAATTCTGATTTTTCAGATTGGGCAAATTCGCGCTGATTATGATAATTCAGCTCGTCTTTTCCGCCAGAGGCAGCAGGAGCTTATGGTATTCTTTCTTTTTCACAATACATTACCTATAGTTTTTTTGTAATTGCACTGCTTAGATACCGGAAGCAACTGATATGGACATCGACATGGATGGCTTGGTGGAGAATTTCAAGGGGAAAAACATTGGTCAGTCTTCCTAATAAATGCTCCTACTGAATTTTTCCTAAGGTTTTGAGTGCTGTGTTATATTATTTATTATGTTATATATATTATAAAGTTAAGGACCCTTGAGCATTGGTGGTCATGTGTCAGTTGAAGATATTCTGGCGAAATTGAAATTGCGGTATGTTCATTTGCAGTATGAGGTGTCAATTCCTTTTTGATTTTAGTTTTTTATGCTGTGTTGATTTTTTCTATAAACTTATTTCATTGATCAGAATAAATTTTTTGGTAAATCGTAATTATTTTCCATTAAGCATTACCGAAAGGGAAGAGAGGCTAAATGCCAGGCAGCATGAAGTTGAAAAGATTGAGAACACTCTTCAAGAGAACAAGGCTACGATTGCTAAGGTATGATATTATTATTTAGTTTCCGTTTGGTTGTATTTGCCTAATCTTATTACTTTTTATTATCTTCCGATGAGTTCTCATTGTCGTTCCAGATAGAGAGCGATATGCCAGTCTTAGCCAGCAAGTACACGATGTATCAAGAGCTACGAATTTATTGCCGCAGTCTCCTGAATTGTCTTAACGAAAAAGTATGTGACACGACTTTTCTGCTGCTTTCCGTTGAAACTAATTCATATTTAGGTTGCTGAAATTAATGAGTTGAGCGATAAGCGTCAGGCACTGGCAAAAGCTCGATGTGAGCGACTAGCACGACGCCGAAGACGAGACATGCGAGATGCTTATAATGATTGTGTGACAGCTGCAGCAGGAAAGAATCCTTCATTGACGAGAACTCCAGAAGTAATGCTTCGTGTAGCTGAAAGAGATGCGAGAAGGTTGCGCTTTTGTACATTGTGATCCTACTTCCCTGTTCTTATGCTTTGTTGTTTTTTTCTTAACCAATACCACTTCTGTTTTTTATTTGAAATATCATTTTCTTGACTCCTTTTAAATAGTTAGCTTGGAAAAAGTTTCCTATAACACATGACCTGCGGTTGGATTTGCGCAGATAGGCTGCAAAGACGAGTATTTGCTTCGCTGAAAACGGTCGATTATACAAAAATTAGTTCAGTATTTACAAAACTAATAGAGGGTAAAGTAGTGTTGTGGAATAGCTCGTGTTTTATGGCAAGTTGGAAACCCGTTACACGAGCTTGGCTCGATCGGAACAATTCCCGCGTCAGCTCATTTTTTTTACATTTCGTTTCTACTGGGCGTTCAATTTCTTCACTAGAGTGCATGCAGTCATCTAACAAGGTGTTTTCACGTTGGTCAAGACAGAGCTCTTTTCAAAAGTTGCTGGATGATGCGGACAATGTATGTTGAGAGAGCGTTGAGCTTATGCGATGTGGTTCAGAGCTAGAAGACGACGTGAGCGAGAAGGTACACTTGCGGGTGTTTCTCATGAAGAGGGCCTAAGCAGTGACGACGATGAGCCGACCAGCCAACAACTTGCTGATCAACAAGCGGCAGGTACGTTTAGGTTCTAATCATACCACATCAGATGTTGAAACCATGGATCAACCTATTCCCCGGTCATTTCGAGGACATCAGCTCATTTTTTCGTTGGATCTAGCTCGATTGTCTTGCTCAAGCCAAATAACCTGAAATTGATTGTATTGCAGTGCCGTGAAAAATTGAGCGGATATTTGTAGAAAGGGGAATCAGTTGATCTATGAAAGAGTCTGATTATAAATTAGGACAATTTCAGCTGAAATCGATACCGCCCTTAATATGGTGTTCGTGGACGCGCTTGACGACTACTCCCATCTTCGAAAAGTTCTGAACAGGTAAGTGCTCGTTTTTCGGTTGATATTTCATTTTTCAAAGTATTTTTAATTTTGTGCCAGAATGGTGGACTGGTTTGCTGTGGATGGAACTACGTTCCAAGATGCGTACATATCATTATGTATTCCGAAATTGGCTTCTCCTTACGTTAGAATTGAACTTATCACAGCAGACATTTTGAATGTAAGTAGTTGTTAATAAGACGTGCTCATCTTTTGTTCTTTGTCTGGTCTGAATGAGTCTTATTTCTAGAGAGACGACTTTATTTTGTCCGCAATGCCGTGGTACACGGATTGCATCAGAGCCATTCAGGAGAACAACGATGTTGATCAAAACCACGAGGTTCTTACGGGAATAATTCCATCAATAATTGATAAAGTTGTCCTTCCTTTTCTCACAGGTTGGTTCGAAGAAGAGAGCATAGTCATTTGTTTCTAATCCATCCTTATGTTCCTGCTTCTTCTCTCCATAGCGAATAGACCTTTCTGGTTCTGGAAAATTGTGTAGTATATTATTCAGATGTGGTTAATGTTGAATGGGAACCGATGTCTCTGAAGCAGTCCAAGCGACTTGGAGCAGTTCTCAGCGGTTTATCTGATTATCCGAAGATGAACATTGATGACAGCAAGTCGTTCGCTATCCTAGCAACTGCTGTAAAGACAAAAATCGCATCTGCGATCGATGACGATTTGTTTGTACCGATCTATTCGAAACAGTAAGTTTATCAAAGCTTGTTACTTATTGACTTTTGAATTCCCATCCTATTCCAGATCCATTAAGAATCCTGCAACAGGATGTGCTGCTTTTTTGGACAGGCAATACTGGTCAGCCATCAAGGTGTGCAGTGGTTTTTTTTTTCTATTCAGAAAGTATTCTCGTTTGATACATTCTCTATCACAATAACCGAAAAGAAGTCTCGAGGCACCCACACTCTTCTAATCCGCTGTTTTAAGCTCATCAGAGGTCTACGATCATTCTCGTCTTTCCTTAATCCGGCCACACGATTTGAGCTTATGTTGGACGGTGTTATTAACCGGGTTTGCGTAGTAGCGTTAGAAACGGGACTGTTGGATGATATCACATGTGAGCGGAAAGTGAGTCCTTGACAATTTAGCTTTGCAAAAAGTTTACCGTTATGTTTATATCTTTCTAGGTTAAAGCTCTGATAGCTGAAATTCCTGATGAGATGATCGAATCAGCCAAGCCGGATTCCCTCAGAAATCTTATACGATGTTTGGGACGGGTTGTAGAAGAGCAGAAAGCAGCCGGAAGGTAACGCATTCTCATATTTTAGCTTACGGAATGTTCTCATCTCCAAAAAGTTCTCTTAACATTTCAGATCCAGTTATCGTGATGTACGAAAATATCTAGAGAAATTACAAAAGAAAGCCGACGAAAGTGCTAAACAGAGTTAAATTTCAGTTGTGTTGTTGATGTGCCGCAAAATTAATAAATTATCGTTTCTTTTCTGATTTTATGGCTGTTGTGGCGTTCTTACACGCTGTTAATATTGGAATTTGTAAACACTAATGCAAACCAATTTTGAAGTGAGTTTAGATGAATTGGCAACGTATGAACATAGTTATTGATCGCTACGAGAGGTTGACCACTAGTCAATTACGGGATTTGCGTAAGCTTCAGAAAATGGCTATGAACCCTAGCACAGATTCGGAATCCGTTAGGAACCAGGTAAATGGACGTTTTTATCTCCACAGCTACTCGCCCATTCGTAAGATTTGGCAGATGTTGGTGGTCGTATGTTTTGTCACATGTGATACCTGAATGAAAGAGTGACGTGAAATGACAAACTTCTCAGGCTGAGAAAATCAGACGAAGAAGAAGTCACTGCGTGTTATGCCCACCAGTGAGCGACCTTCTGAAGGAGGGTGTTCCGCCACGCCGTCAGAGCACTCTCTACTCAAGAGTGGGAATATAAATGGGTACTTGAAGATGGATCAGAAAGAAAGGCTTCCATCATACTTTGGAGAGTCCATACATTCACCTGATAATCGCATAGAGAGCTATGGAGCGTGTGCGTACTCGAAAGGGGTTGTACTGGTTGAACGGTTAAGGTGCTCTGGGAGTGGTAAAGCCTAGTTCTGCCGCAAAATCAAAGAAAACTGTTGCATAGAACCTTCACATTGATGAAATATGTGTGTATTTGGTATCAGGAAATCCAAGCGTTCGTGCTACTAGGCATCTTTTTATGAGGGTGAACCTCGAGATTAACGAAATGGTACTGAAGTTGTAACTACTCCTGCCGTTAGTGTTCCCATCTAGCCGTTTAGATACCCTCCCAATTCGATCCTCTTAGGTCGAGGGCACAAAAGTCACGAATATCCTCACATATACAGACACCCTCGGCGGTTTATATATAGTAGGAGGGTCAAAATGATGTATCTTGAGCATATGTAAGGCCTCAGATGTCATATTTGCACTTGTTTAGATAAACCAAATAGGTCAACAACTAGAGTCTAGTCTCGCTCAGCTTCTCAGTGAACGCGGTAATCTTGATTCTTCGGAACAGAAACATTTCGATGAACGGACAGAGCAAGTTAGGTGCGTTTGCCGAGCTTGCTTGTCGCAAGTATGAAGGGTTTGTTTTTCCTCAAGGCACAAAGATGTCAGCTAAGCTGAGATTAGAATTGATACCGAAGTAACTTCTACTCAGGAAACAGATACAGACAGCTATACGGGTGTCAGGAGCACTTCCACCATTGACCTCGAAGAATCCGTTCTTGGATGAAGATTCTGAAGAAGCTAATCCGTATGAGGCTGAGAGTAAAAGGTTGGAAGCGTGGTTTCTTTATGAATACCCCCCACTTTGTTTTTCCTTCGCTTCTTGGATATTACGCGTATAATTTTTCTATTTACTTTGCTATGACCGAGATTTTCCTGAAAGTTGGTAGACCTTTTCTCCGTTTCTTACTTGTAGGGTAGCCTTGCAGAATTATTTGCACCTTTTGTATATGTACAGATATGTACAAGAGAGTAACGCTCGTATGTTGGAAATGAAGGCAAAAGCAGAAGAGGCACGAATGACTGCTGAAGCAACTGCCAAGTTGAACAAGGTAATTTAAGCTTTTATGGTGATATTATTGAGCGCTATTTTCTGTTGAGCCTTAACGAAGATCAACAAATTCCTTAGGATATGCGCGATCTGGAAGAAATTTTTGCGGAGCTGGCTACGATAGTTCATGAACAGCACGAGGTTGTGGATTCGATTGAGGTAATCCCACCTGACCTTTTTCGTTCCTTGAGCAAATTCATTTTTATGCTGCGTGTTCAATTTTTTAGGAACACGTTGAGCGGGCCACTCACGACATTCAACATGGAAATGAACAGCTCAAGAAAGCAATACGGCACAAGACAAATCAGGTAGATCTTGTTGTTTCAGGCGCCTAGAGAAATAATCCGAATAACGAGCTACATCGCGTATTTTTACTAGATGTCATGCCTATATACTTGCACATAAAAGCATCTTCGTTTGCACAAGTTCATGCCTTCGGTCTTTCTTCTTCTTCTCTACCATGACGTTAGTCTGGCACAGTCAGAAAGTACACTGTGCATCTACCGTGCTCGTCGCCCTTCTATTTACAGCTTCTTAACTTGCATTGTCTCTGCAAAGAACCTCCATTATCATGTCTCTCAATTATTCTTCGGAGTTCCCTTGAGCTTCGAGTTTCATTCTGCTTCCCTTGGTTTCTGTATCCTCTGCAGCGCTTACCCACACCATGACAGGTGCTGTTCATGCTTCTTCTGCTGGCCAGGGCTGTTTTTATGACCGTACTAATACTATTCTATGTTTTCGGTCCAGTCTAATCTTACTCATTGAAGACAACAGTGGCTGCTGCTGTCGTTGGAGGACTTGCCGTGGGAGGTCCCGTTGGAGTAGCTGCTGGTTCAGCTGTTGCAGGTATAGCTGCTGGTATTGGAGGTCTCGTGGCAGGTCTGTGGCTGCGTTGCTTTCTGTATTTTTCCAACACATTGTTTACCAAAGATGGTGTTCTCTTGTGGGACATTATTGACTTTGCGAGGTTTTCGAAATGCACCAACATGTATTTCAGGTATTTACGGTGGAAAGTGGTTCAGAAATACAGTAAGAAAAGATTGTGATGTAAACAACTAAGCTTTCTGGGTTTGTTACGGTTGTGCGTCGAGGCATTCCATACTGAACTGCTGTGATTTATACATAGTAACTGTACAAAAGTATATTTCGCATAGACTTGATTTCCTCTGCATCATATCATTGTGATTGCTGATTATTCTCCTTCATTGCATAGCTTTTACTGGCAATCTGGTCATATTTCATTGCCTTCCGGTGCGGCCATTTCTCAAGTATATATGTTGGGTTGAATCTGAGTGCAATTCTGTTTGAATACATTCATCTAGTTGGAAGGTACTGTGCAAAGACTGGACTTTCTTTTTTCTTTTTTGGAAACGAAAGAATTCCGCTCTAATGGCATCCTCATGCTAGCATTGCTATTCAATTCGACTATTAGATCTTGCGAATATTATAATTATTGAGCGTGTAAGACTAAGTGGTTAGTCTTTCTGGCTTTTTTGTGAAAAGTCTCAGTCATTGAAAATTGTAATGTTGAAATAAAGTGCTTTTCTCGCGGGAATCCCCAACAACAAAACATGTCGTTATTCATGAGATGATTCTTAAATTATTTTTCATTTCTAATTTTTTGTAGACTGCTCCTAACGTTTTTCATTTGGTTATCTTTCCTAGGTTTGCCCAGTGATGGCAGTGCTCATAGAAACAACCTTGGGAGATATTGTCATCGACGTGTTTGTTAAAGAACGACCAAAATGTAGGTTTTGTGCACAAGAAATATTTTCCGTTACTGTGTTTGTTACCAATGAGTTGTTTAAGGTTCGCTAAACTTTATCAAACTTTGTAAAATGAAGTACTACAATCTGTGCCAGTTCCACACCATTGAGGTGAGCTGCTAAACAAAAAAGTAGATGAAAATAATAATTTTTAACCAGAAGTTTCCCTTTTTCCATGGGAACATGGAGATTCGGGGCAGTAGAGAATCTGGTGATACTTGATATTATGAACATGGTTTCCAGCAAAATTACATCGCTCAAACGGGTGATCCTACAGGAACTGGTAGAGGAGGAGAATCAATATACATGTATGTGTTTGGATATTACAAAATTAATAGGCTAATATAGGGACGTTCTTGTAAATAAACGCTTTCAATCTTATGGTATAAAATTAGTTGGTCTTTTAATTGTGAGCTGTTTTCTCCAGTAACAATTTGATTCAAAAAAAGTACTTGTTACCTTTTGAATCCTTCAAGTACTAAGTGTTCAGGACTTTGTATGGTGAGCAAGCACGGTACTTTGAGAAAGAGGATCTTCCCAAAATGAAGCACACCAGAATGGGTTAGTTTCTCAGACGATAGCTCCTTCAAGGGAAGAAATTTAATGATTGAGCAGTCTATGCATACGCATTATACGATTTTACTTGTAGGTGTTGTTTCTTTTGTAAATAATGGTAACAATATGTTGGGAAGCCAGTTCTTTATCACACTGGGGGAGAAGTAAGTTTTGAAACATCTTACTTTCTCTGTAATTTGGGATAATCATTCTGTAACAACCTCTCTTCCTACTCCACGTCATAACTAGTTCTGGATTTCTGCAGTTTGGACTATCTCGACGATAAGCACACAATTTTTGGTCAAGTCACGGAAGGGATAGATACTCTAGAGAAAATGAATGATCAGTTATGTGATGGTGATCACAAGCCTTATAGAGATATCCGGTGGGTGACATATGTCGTCTCCAGTGACTTGTTCGTTTCTTTAATCAAATGTAATGAGTAGCAGAACTTTTTTTTTCTTCAGAATCGCACACACTATTGTCCTAGACGATCCATTTGAAGATCCTCCGCGGATTAAATACCCTCGTGGATCTCCGTCGCCTACTTTCGAAATGCTTGTACAGGTCAACTCAGATAATTGTTTCGTTTGGATACCTAGTCCATTTGGATACAATTGTCCATTTTGGACGGAAAAAATCTCATTTTAGACAAACAAAATCGCACTCGATGAGAATGTGGATGATTTTGAAGGAAAAACCGCTGAAGAAATAGCCGAGGAAATCAAAAAGCGAGATATGGCAGAGCAAGCGCAAATTCTTGAAATGGTCGGTGACACCTGTGAATGACAGGATTAACTACCAGGAATGTAATATTACATGCCATTTGACGATTACCAAATGCTTTGTTTAGGTCGGTGATTTACGTCATGCTGATGAAGCGCCACCAGACAACGTTCTGTTTGTGTGTAAATTGAATCCAGTAACTACCGATGAAGACTTGGAAATTATTTTCAGCAGATTTGGAAAAATCATAAAGTGCGAGGTAATTCTACGAATTGCAAGGCTCATGCCTGTTTTTTGTTTTAAAATGATGAATTTACCATTCTCTCCGCAGTCGAAGTTGAACATTTGTAGGTAATACGAGATCGTAGGACCCAGCAATCTCTACAGTATGCGTTCATTGAATTTGATGATGTGAGTTTCCTAACTGTTTTTGTTTTCATTTTCAACGTTCTGTAATTGTACAGCGCAGGTGTTATCCCAAATGAATTAAGCGTACCGTTCAATCAACTGAGGTAATTTTACCCATGGTTTCTTTCTCGCATCACTTTATACAGCTTCACCACCCTCAAAAACAATTCTCACCTTCTCGATAAAAGCAGAAAATTGAGCAGGAGGTCGAAGTTTATCTGTGATTACCTATGTCTTAGCTCTTCCATTCCAACAGTTGCTTTTACCACATCTTATGTTTAACTGATAGGGTATCTCCAGCATGATTTTTTATCATAAACTTGCTCAACGTTACATTCGATTGCGGTGTTTATGTCCTTAGATTGAGGATAAATTTGACAATGTTTTGTTCTACGAAATGTTTTTTTCAGCCGAAAAGTTGTGAGCAGGCGTTTTTCAAAATGGACAACGTGCTAATTGATGATAGAAGAATTCATGTAGATTTCTCGCAGTCAGTGGCAAAGTTACATCAGGGTTATAAAGGTAGATTTTATAAAGACTTCGAGGAAATTTTGAATTGAGAAAATTATTTTAAGAAGGAAAAGCGCAACGTTACAATGCTGATGAGCCGGAAAATAAAGACCACAGGGTAAGTCGATCTGATCAACCTTCGGAAACATTGTAAAGGATCACCCTTTCCAGCAAAAACGACCTCCTGGAAAGAAAAATGTCTCTCCACGGAGAAATGGTAATGAGGAACAGCGGAACGAAAAGCGTCCTCCTCGAGATAAGTTTTATGAAAGACAACGCGAAGGAGTCCCGGAAAAGAAGCGTCGCGAACGATCGCGCAGTAGAGACGATTTGCCGCAGAAATATCGAAATGAAAGAAGTGTTGGAAAATCAGGTAGAAGAAGATCTCGTAGCACTGAGCGGTCATATCGTGGTGGGGCAGACAGGTCGAGAAGTCGTGATAAGCTCAGAGCAAGGGAAAACAAAGATAGACATGATAGCCGAAAAAGGAAGAGGAGAGAAAGGTCTGACAGTAGTGAGGGACGACAGAGACGTTCTCGGAGTAGTTCAGCCAGCCCAGTGAAGTCACGTCGAAAGCGGTCGCAGTCACCAGGGAGGAAAAAGCATCGCAGGTGATCCACACTTCGGTTACAGTTGTAAAGTACTATTGTTGAACCTCCAAAGTGGTCTCGTTTGTATGTCGATATTTGAATGAATATAAACTTTAAATCGAAAAATACGACAAACACCAGTTGGAAAATGTAAGGCAAAAGAAATACCGAAACCTATAAATCCTACGTTTATTTGAGGTACAGTAAAAGACATCATAAGATGCAATAAATTTTTTTTTGATATCTGGGACCGTTGATCAGGTCACGACCCCGTTTTCTTTTTTTTGTATCTATGAAAAAAGCTGATCCTTTCGCATTACCATTTCTTGTTTACTAAATGTTTCACCGATCAATTAGTCTTTTGTTCATTGTATAAACGAGGGGTACAACTGTAAGGTTCAATAACCACACCCTTTAGTATCTTTAATAGTTTGCTTCTTGCATATGTACAACTAAATACATGACTATATCACATGTCGAGATCTTCGCAAGTATCCCATTCGGAAATCTAGAACAAATAGAAGATATCGAGGAAGGGTTACTTGATTTTTCAGAGTAAAAATAAAGAATACATCACTAACCAACTCTCGATCATCGACATTTAATCGAGGTAAACTTTCGTTAATTTCGAAGCGATGACTGCTTGCAAGTATAACAGGATGAGGCTGTAAATAGGTGTTTTGCAAAGTAAGATTTCTAAATTGAAACTATTTCTTTTTTTGAAATTGAAATGGTGAGTAAAAGGTGGGCGACTTGGGAGCAATGCAGGATGTACCTCTCCTAGATCAGGATACTTGCAAAACTCATCAGTGTTTTTGCCCATGTAAAAAAAAGACAATCATTTTGATAGAAGAGAAATCTCACCTTGGGAGCTACAGCACCCTCCAGAACAAACCGTGTTTGCTCAATAATATTTGCATGAGGATAATTGAAGTGAAGGCTTTCAGGGGGCATTCCCAATTGTAAACCTAGCGACAGTACAGACTGACAAAATTTGAACCTGGAACCAAGAGCCTCAACTAATCACCTGAAGACAGAAATATTTCGACTCACCAGTCATTATCCAATAGTTCTCGACTCCATCGCTCCCTCAAAGAAACGTCACGATATGATAACTGGAAATATGTTGTATTTATAAAGTAAACAAAATAGAAAAGTCCATAAGTGTAGAATGTAAACCTACAAGATAAGGTAATCGGAAGTCGAAAATTGTCGCCATGTTATTAACAAGTTGTAACGAAAGCAGAAAAGCAGCAAACGGTGAGCGTAGTTCGGTAGTGAGATTCAAAAGTGAGTCTGAGAGAGCAGCCCCAAGTCTCTCTCGCGCTCCATCCGACAGGAAGTTATCGCGCACCTAGAACACCATATTTTTGAATAACAATGCGGAGAGATCGTTAGACACGAGTCCGCTCACTTTTGGCATTTAATTTCAGTCATTTAACCCATTTTAATATAGAACTGTTTATGAAGCTGACGCGAATGAAAAATTGCCACCCTCTTTTTAGCTATTAACAACCATCGATAGCTAGATGTTAGTCATTCTGTGCAGAGCTAAATAATCACCATAAAGCATTGTAATCGAAAGCCCAGAACTGTGGATTGCGTCGATATAATACTATCAAATTGCGATGCAGCTTTCGTTATTGGTTGGGAAAGCGAAGCAAATCATATTGAATAGAATCAAAGACCTTAACGTCTTCACTGCAGACTATGAAAAAAATAAAAGGAATGCAATAATAAGAAACTCACTTTCACCATTGGTCCTTCCTCGACTTGGTGGCCGCCCACCATCGTCCATTTTCTGAAAAAAAAACCTTCATGAACGACTTTGGGGAGTTCTTTGGGGAGAATATGCTTGACGCAAAATGCCTCCCGTTATTCAGCCAAAACCACAGACAGGACTAATGATCGACCCCTGTTTAATGTTCAGTCAGTACTGCTATTTCTTTGGCAACTTCCCAACCAATACATTGGACTTTCTGAATAGTAGCCAACCACTGCTGAACTGTCAATACTATTCAGTAATTCCTAGGATACTATGTTTTCATGTCAAACAAGCAAATGGATCTTTCTGGATCACAAGCAGATCTTTCTTTCCATGTAATGCCAATACATTGCATATCAGCATCAGGTGACCAATACGAATTTTACAGCATTACTTACCCATTGTTTTCGTCAGCTCGAATGGTAGTATGTGCTGGTCGCACGCTTTGTGCGATCACCTCAGAGACGGGGAAAATCGAGAACAGACAACCACAAAGAGATTTACGTAGCAGAAAAACCTGAGATAATAAACAGTAAAGCAACCAGTGAAAGGAATGACCATCAAACCCACATTTCTATTCATTTCAGAAACTTTGGCTTCTTTGTATTCTCGTCTCTTCTGCATGGTGAGCTCATTAGCGTCGTGTTTATCGTAATACGACTGTAATCTGACAGTTTTGGAATGAAAAAATACTCGAAAAGCTAGAATACATACCAAAACCTTGTTGGCATGCCTTGCAGTAGAAGCAATCAACTGCTCTAATGCTGCCAAACGGTTTGCCTTCATTTTATTCATTTGGTTTTTCTCGTCAACCCATTTTCTTAGTAAAGTAATGTTGGCTGTAGTCGTGTTGATATCAGCACAGAGGCTGGACTGGAAAAAGATTGCAAGCTCAAGACAAGAAATCGGAGAGCAACTCGGCTGAATTCTAACTGGGAGGAATTCAAAAGAAAAAGATCATAACGACATGAACTAAAATACTGCGATAACCAGAATTTGAAACTAACCGTCTCTCCAAGCATGCTATCAACTTCTTTTTCTAGCTCAGATTTTCGTGTTGACCGTATTGAGATATTCTCCTTACGTGAGTAAAATTTTACTGAAATTTCTAGACTGCATTCTGTCGCGGTAAGTTTCAAGCACAACGGTTGCTTACATTTCTCCAAAGTACATTTTTTACAGAAACACTGGTTCTTCTTAGAGCAACATAAGCACAGAAGGCGTTCACCCGTCATTCTGAAAAAAAGTTTATATTTGAGTGGTCAATCACCCGGTCGTCGAACCTAGCAATCAAGAAACACTGGTTAAATTCCTAATCAATCAAAAGAAGACTCTGTATAGACTTTGAAAGATGAAAAGCTGAAAGAAAAAAGCTCAACCTCCAGTTAATTTTGGGTCTGTGGAAGGCGTCCAATTTTGTAACAATACCAGGTGGAGTGAGGTTGAGATCAGGTGGAGAGCATAGGCCCTCTGGAAGGTGGACTAAAAATCTTAATATATTGTCTTTAAAGAGAGAAACGTTTGAAAGCATCAAGAGAAAAAAGAGAGGTAGTACTGGAGACAACGGTTAAAAACTGAAGAACAACTGTTCTGAATAGTGAGAAATGATACTGGTTGAACGTTTGATCAATTTGAGAAGGAACACTGAATTGATGCCCATAAATTTACGCTTAATTCCTTAAGCATAGGGTTCCCCTTGTATTCCGCTTAAATCGATCGCACTAAGTTTATAAATTCATCACTCTGGTTTTAATAAAACGCTAACGAAAGCAGTGAGCTACGAATTAAGCGGTGTCTGAGACACCTTTGCTATCTTATCAACAAAGAGGAAAAAAAGTTTATAAGTGTTTCAGAAGAAAGCTCGATGCTGTGCAAGTTATTATTGAACAAAAGCTCGTGTGTGTTTTCTCAGAAACTATATAAATAAACTGACCTCAAAAAAAAAAGAATAAAAAAAGGGTGGGAAGGATGAAAAGAGTTCCGAAAGGATTTTTATACGTTTATGTTATGCGAACAGAATATAAAAACACTTGCGCGGCACAAAAAGTCCACACAAGACAGCCGTGAGCTTACGATCGATTGCAGACGGAGCGCGAAATCCAATTTGATGGAAATGCTGATTAATTCCTGTGGTGCCAGTATCTAATGCTATTTACTAGCCGTAGAGTGATGCCAGTATTATTAATCACTTCCTAACTGAATATATTCTGATTCACCACCAAATAAAACAGTAAGAATACTTTGGTTTGAGTTCATACATCTGCGGTGGGTGCAACCAGTCATTAAAATCGAATGCAACTTTTTTTTGCAGGTCGTCTGCGTCCACAAAGGATCAGATTTGTAAGTGACAAATAAATTGCTTAAAGCTAAAGAAAGAGCATTTCGTTGACTCGTTTTTCCATCATGAAGTAATCATAAATAAGGGGCTTAGCAATCGATTCTTCACTGTTTTCACAACTCTAAACCATGTGATGAGAGAAGAAGTCGATAAAAACACACCTGTCAATGAGTTGGGACCGATCGATATCGGTCGAGACCTTATACTTAAACGAGTTCGATCGGTCATCATGTGACGCCAGACTGCTGCTTATTTGACGCCACAATGGCAGATGGGCAAAGCAGAAGCAGACAAGGCTTACTTCTCGTGCAGCAATTGCTTTGTGGCTGAAAACGCGAAATAGGATATAACATATGGAATTGGTGTTTTTTAGCGGAAACCGATTAACGATTCGATGGATGAAGCATATTTTAGCATGACGATTACCTCTTTCGGTAAAGGACAGACGATGCGACCACAGTTACGTTCGTGACCACATCGAATGTGCGATAACAACGAGACAGACCACAGCAGTCGGTCTACAGTCGAAAAACAGCTGACTTTCCTCACGTGATTTTCAGTGTTTCTGCAACGGCACGCACGCAATACATCACAAAAATCAAAGAGCGACGTCTGCAAAAATAGCCCGATGCCTGCTTGTTGCACTTTTGAATTAACGTCTTCGTTGAACCCATAATCCTCTGCAAACGTTCGACGCAACTGTTCCTCCTTCGTGAAGCTATGTTGAACGGTAGTCGAACAATTGAGAAACCTTTTGTGCTTCTAATATTCTTACACACTTCCCTTTCATATACAATCCAGTAAATAAACGTGAAAATGAGTTTTAAAGGCACGTTCATCTCCTCTTCGTCTGCTCTTTTCCTTGCCAATGAAAAATCCTACTCGTCATTTCCATTATACCACAACCTTCCACAAGTTTACAAATATTCAGTCCCACTCTGGAACCTCTTCCCTCAGAATTCTCACCATTGTAAACTGAAATGGCCGTCATTTCGTCCATTACGGAGCTCTGAGAGCATAGCGAGGTGGCCACTCCAATTCCATTTGCACCTAGTATTTCAAATAACTTAATTTTCTTTTAGATATAGATAGCAAGAAATACTTCTAACTTTTGTTGCACTTTACTTTACTAATACTTTTGTTGCGGAAATCATACCTCCATCATTCAACGAATCTTCACAGGAACTAGCGTTCAAACAACTGATGGCAGTCTGTTAGTTTTTTTGAGTACAATATAGATGAAAAACGCTCGAATACGTAGACGTAGGGTGTGAAAACGTAGCTACTATAAATACGCCCAACAGCATCTAGTACGCAAACAACTAAAGTCGCAACTTCATAATGCTGCTATCAGTTCTTTGACTAAACAATTGTGGGCATACGAAACAAACGACTGTTACGCAATTGTCTAACCCGTATGCATTAACTAAGAATAAAGCCTACGGTCGATAAGTTGTATACTCACTGAAATTGTGGAAGGATCGGCACTCGCATTCATTCGTACGATTCACCGCGCCTCATGCAGAACACGCTTTTGTGGGCATTTGTAGATCTGCGGTGAATGGCATATATCAAGATTCTTGTTCTAGTGATGTTTTTGAGTTTCCTTTCTTTTTGTTATTCTATCATGATCACATGAAGTGAGGTTCCGGCATGAAAGCTGCCAATCTAGCTTGGACGGTGTCCCGCAAACTCGGTTTCTGGGAGCAATCTATCTCATAGACACCTCGACCGGTTGTTAGTCATCCTATGTACGTGCCTGTATTTTTGCCGCAATGATGCTTCCCAGTATTGTTCGCAAGCCACCTGTCGTGCCTACCGGTTACGGTAGTCTCACCTACACATATGTCGAATTAGGTGGTGCTACAATAATTGCGGTCTGTTGAAAGGGCATTTAGTTGCAAACACTCATTTTCTATCCATAATTGGCAACCAAATGGCAGCTAGAAAGTGTTTGGAGGGTGAGGGGAGGTGTTGACTTGGGTAATGCTCAAAGACTTACCAGGGACTCTATTTTGCTCGTTCATTTTCACCTGTCTGCTAGCTCGGAACGCTGCTTAGCAGCTAATAAGGGTGGGCAAATCGTAATTTTGGTGGCTTCATTAAGCGACTTCGCGGTTCTATATATACGCCAAAGATGCCCAATCTTAACAGTTTAACTGAGTCCCAAGGTCTTATGGTCTCACGATATTTCTACTCGGATACTACTTCAGTACGCTCCCGTAGAACATTTTTTTGAACTAACGAAGCAAGAGAGGTTCACATTCGATGGTGCTGTAATAACGCGCAGTACCTGTGTATAAGTCCAGAGCTCAGGCTAGGTTCATCATTGTGGGGTTTAATAGGCAGTCGAATGTTCTCTTGATACGCATAGAAGCTGGTATACTTAAAACAAAGTGCATAGTGGTTTCATAGTAGGGTTTCTGATTTTTTCGAGTTTTTCTCTTAAATTATCTTTCAAATTGATCTTGCCATTCTTTTTCTTCGAACTTTTTTACAATTTTCACAGTGTCCCGTTGTTGTTACGCATTTCTAGAAACCATCCATTTCTTCTCGGTGATCTCAGTAGATTTTACCTTTCACAGGTCCTTTAAAATCTCAATTCATATGAGCACGTGCATTTTCCTGAGCTTTCAGTACTTTACCTTATGATGGATATGACTCGCCCAGTACAGCAGCAGTACGATCTTCCAGATGAAAAACAACAGCATAGCAACAGAATATGGTAGGTTTATTGAGAGTTAAACAACAAAACCCGTGGTTACACATATATTAGATAAACAGCAAGTCAAAGAGAAAGCAAGTATTTGGACGACGAGAACCGCGTAGGAACCTGAGACATTGAATGATACTAATACGAATTAGTCCTGTATGAAGAGCACTCGTTGGAAATGTAAGACAAACGGAAACCTTGGCATAACTTAACAACAGATAAATACTAAAACTGGCCCTGAATGGCTTGAAAGTAGCTGTACATTGACTATAAACGACTCGGCAATAAAGAATGATCATTGCAACATTAGAGGTACTGTACACAAGAAAGCACTAGACGGTAATTGAGTCACTAAGCACGATAGCACACAAAAAGACCTGAACTTAACCTGAGCATTTTAAAGTTGCGTGTAGTTGATATCAATTGAAACGATGTAATGGATAATAATGATCATGATTATTATGGTTGAACCTCCATATCACTTGGAAGTGCTGTAAGTCGAGTGGTTGGGAAAAGCGCTTCGATAGATTCGCTTTTGATTTCAGTTTTTGTGGCAGACACTGCTGGTAGTTGTTGTCGTGAGAAGAGCAGCAGTTGAAGACGAGCTGTTTCTGATTTGAGAAGAGCCACCTAAAAGCGGCATGTTGTACTTGAGAAGTGGGCGAAAGCATTCAGTTCTAGGTATTTGCTTCGATCAGTCGCTTTTTATATTGTAGATGAGGATGGTAAAGGCGTTTTGGAAGCAGCAAAACACTTAGGAAGCTTTCACAACTTCGCTCTCAATCATCCGACCATCACCTCTGATGGGATTGTGAGTTCATGATTCCTTCAATTATTCCCTCTAGTTATTGAGTTTGGCTTTGTTTTTCATTCCCATTTGCACTGTGAAATGCCAATTAGAGGATAGTCGCTGAAAATTGCGATCCGATCCAGAGATCTGCTAAGGGCGCAGATTTGCCTCGGAATCAGTGCCCTTAAGTGACACACACTAATCTAATAGAACAGGGAAGCTGGTTCTAAGAGGTAGTGATATTGGCTATATAGTAACGTGAATCGCAATTCTCACTCTGCGAACGCAATGGTTATTGTTAGTATCGCAATAGCCATTATTTTCGAAATTGAACTTATTTCCACCGGCTGACTCCGGATTTTCTGAATCCAAAAATGTATGTAGAATTCTAACATTAAGTTACTGCTTGAAATAAAAAGCTTAGTCTTCTTTAATTTGTTTGAACTTTCTTTTTCAAGTAGTGAATTTGACGTCATGGGTTTTCTTGGAATATTAATGTTCCCTGATTTGGAAGCGATTTGAGGGTCTGGCCTAATTGTTATCATATTAATTACTTCACGCTTATTTGCATTCGTCGTTTTTTTTTTTTTGCTATTTACTACAAAGTCAATTCAGACGAACACATTACCTGAGCAGTCAAATTGTAAAAAGAACCTCTTCGTTAGGAATGTTTTCTTACAGTGTGCATAGTTGTTCGGCCATTTTTATATTCTTGAAAAAGAGCTTTTTACCTGTCCTCGAAGTTGACCGTTTTCTCGCTCTAGACGGCTAGCTTTTTCGGCTATCAATTCCTCTTTCATACGTCTGGCGTCCCTCGACCGTTTCGCTGCGTCGTTATTTCGTCTGCGTCTTTCGTAGTAAGCATCATCCTGAACGTCGTGCAGATACTTTATATTTTTTGACATATGCGTTTCGAGTGATCCAAGCTTATCATGAATGTCTACTTGAATTTGTTTGTAAGCCTGAAGAACAGGATTCACAAGGGATACTGAAGGGGTATTCCGCTTCCCAAACTCCGAGCTGAATACAGTCATGACGTTCATATTATAAAAGGGAAGCGGCTTGGAAATATGCTTCCCATCAACCATCCGCTTCAGTGAGCACTTGTTCTGAAAAAGCCCTGAGAGCTTTTTACGACGTAACCACTATTTTTCGACGCCACAAGCAACAATTCTCTATTGCTGCTCCGCTAGTAGCTATTAATCCTAGCATAGGGTGACAGCACGACAGTTGGTTGACTTTTTTTGTAGGCACGGTGACCTCATCGCAGGTAGAAGGATGGACAGGCATTGAGAGCAGTTGCGCTGCCGCCGACGTTGACCGTCAAAGACGTCGTCGATGAGGTCAGCTGGGGTGCCTATTACATACACCGGCTCAACTAAAGGATGTGAGTAAGCGCGGAGATCGGCACTGTCAGAATTGAGCTCGGAAGAAGAGGAATGCCAGTTATTATTTTTTCTACTCGATAAGGCTACCGAATGATTTGTGTGCCCAAGTTACAGTTACGTCATTACCGTATCATTCACCGACCGTCACTGTCGTCATCATCGCCGCCTTTTAACTGCACTTATTTCATATTTGACTAGCGGTAGTGAGAGCATGTCATAAAGGTGATCGATCGCGGTCCTTTTCAAGAAGCTTCCTTCTCAGTGTCCATGCGCGGAGAATACGGTAGCCTGCTTTTAGAGAAGGGCTTTCTCTTCAAGTTAACTTTTGGTCTAAACTGCTTTGACGGTTCCGCTTTTTTCAGGCAGCCAGAGTTTAAAATGTAATATCAAGTTACAGTAATTGGTCAAGACTGTTTAGTCATATACTCCCAAGCAGACGCTCCCAAATGGCGCAGCTTCGTAAACCCTTGGGAAAAAGTCATCCATCAATAGTGATTAGCATTTCTGTATGACGAACGATGGGAGGCCGTCCGGCAGTTGCTGAGTGTGTGTGTGATGGCCCCGTCTGCCCTTCGTTGACCCCTTATTGAGGCAGTAATTCTGACGGATTAGAATAGCCTGGCCGTAATTACGCACAGTTGTATAAGTATGCCGTAGCGTAACAGTTGGCCAACGCAGAAAAAAGGAACAATGCCGCTTTCGGCGAGGTAACCGGAAACCGTTCGAATCAAAGTCATGGCCATTCACTGTCTATCTCGCACTCACCTTCTTCTCGTCCGGAATTGGTTTCGCCACTTTCCGAGCCGGAGATGCTTGAGGGCTGGAGAGCTGAAAAAAGTAAGGTTTAATAATTGATTTTAGTTTTGGTTGTTTTTCTATGAGGAATAGATACTTCTAATTTGTGATAGTTGAAAACAAGTGGGGGTGAGAGCACTTGGACCGAGCCTCCTAACGCCATATTTCGGACTATGTGTATGCCTTTGCCCTTGAAGCTTGTGAGCTTTGAGGGAGCATATTCGCAATCGAGATCAAGAAAGAAAAAGATCAAAACAGTACCGAATAGTTTGAAAGCCATGAAAATAGGACCAAGTTCATTGTGAGTCAGCCTACATCTTGATGTTTGATTCAGTGCTCCAATAATTCTCACTTTTCAATCTAAAGGGTGTTTACATGTAGCAGAGCTTTTGAGAAGCTAGGGTTGAAGGTCAGCTAATCTTTCCAACCCTCAAGTCTTGAAAACTCTGCTGTTTGTTCATTAACTACAATAGCCGAAACTTAACAGCTGGAGAAAGATCAGATTCGGAATTTTTTTCCGAAAACGCCCTGTACATTTTCGACAACCAAACCAAGTAGAATTCTCCGCCATGGTGGAAAGAAAAATGCAACTTTCCAAATTGCCCCCTTTCAATTTTACCAATGTACGAGGTCAAAATTTTCCGATTATGGTGGGTGTATCATGGAGGATGGAAATTTTGGGAACGCGCTTAACCTGTCGATCACATATTCTATATCCACGTTTGTAATGCCGGCTGAATGCCAACAAAAACTTTAACAGACAGTCGCACAAGAAATTTTTCATGCATCAAAAATCGGATTGGATCGGTTTGGTGCTACTTTTATCGTAATAATCTTTGTTATACGAAATAGGCTGGATCAAAGCGATCTGTTTGAATTTCAACACACAGCAGCTAATTTTCCTGAATGCTGTAGTCGATTGAACATTGAAATAACGAGTCAAAATTTACCTGAGTAGACGAGACTGTGCTGCTCTGTGAAAGTGGACTGCAAGGCGAGTCAAGTCGGGACTTTTTCGGTGTGACAGCTGGCTGCGGCTCAGCAGCCAAAACGCCAAAAAAGGATGGATCCATGGCATTTCCGAGTGGGAACGGTAGTGACGTCATCAAAGGATGGTGTAGAAATGCACTAAACGGAAACGCTGACGGTTGTACAGGGGTCGGCTGACGAATCAGTGCCGACAGTGTGCCGTGCAGGTCCATCTAACAGTGGCTGGGTAGTAGTGGAGGATCTGGGCGAACTCTGCTGACCTCTTCGGGTCAGCGCGGTACGAATTCCGGTGAGAAGTGTGTTGAGCAGACGAAGGCTAAGCAACAGGCTGCTGACCCCGACGCTCCGCCCTCATGGGATCGACGCGCCCGGGTCACCGTCCGACGAACAAAGCATCCCGACTGATGACCGCAGATTGTCACCTCTGCCTCAGCCATTGAACACTCGTTGCGTAACCAAAGAGCCACAACTGGAGAGATACAGTACGAAATGCAATGGATTGGGTTCTGGATTTTGGGTTCTAACCACCAATCGGGGCAAGAACACGGCCTGGGAATAGCCAAGAGTAAAGAGCCAAAAATCTGTGAGAAGAACCATCTCCTTCATTTTCGGCAGTTTTCGCAAGCTCAATCATCTCTAACATGGAGGAATGTTAATAAGAAATGAATATTTAGACCGTTCATGAAAACTTTGCGACGTTCTGTAGAAGAGCTTCAAAGTTTCATTTCTAGACACAATTTCTTCTACTTTGCTCTTGAGCGCAACTTTAAGAACTTCGAGCTGATTGTTGACAGTCGTATTTGTTTATGTTGTAGTAAACCAATTCACGAATACATGCTACAGATATGAGTATGGATCAGTAGCCGATTGCGGCACCTTCGATGCATGACAAAGTTTCGTCTTTTCTGCACTGTTTATAATTTCTCGCGAGAAATGTTAATCAGTGCATCTCTTCTCCTCAGACTCCGGGAAAGCTTTCCATCGTCTCGAACGTGAATTAATATGGTGTACTGAACGAAGTTCGTCAGAATTGGTAATGGTCGCACGTATCTTATCCGAATCCAAGGAGTCAACTGCAAAACCAGCAGGTACTTAAAGATTTTCCCTGCTCTTGCTGCCATGGATGTCATTTTACAAATACGCTTCGTGGTGGTCGAACTTCCCTAAGCAACAGACAAGCGTGGTCTGATCGCATGGCGATATCGGGACTTCAGTTAAACGTGGATTGCCTGCTGGTTTGATGGTTCAATTGAGCAGTGTTCTATTTTATCATCGAACTTTCAAGCGTCTTTGTTTAATACAGTCGGGCAGTCTGGAGGAGCGGCACACATGTTAATACAGCTTGGTCTAGATGGTACCGCTCCTCTATGGTGCTAATAATGGTACCATAGAGGAGTGATTCGGCATAGCCTGTAATGGAGATAAAATTAGGAAGCTCAACTTCGATAGTACCATCCATCTTATGTGCGAAAGATGGCTGTATTCGTGAGATCGCCCTTGTCTTTGTCATGCCATGGAGTGGCTCGAGATGCGTTGGAATACAACCTGCATAAGGACGTCAGATCTTGAAACAAGAGCACCACAGAAAAAATCTGGAAAATAGCTGACGCCTATAGCAAACATTGAATTTGTGGTAGTTCGCAAGGATTCTCAAGGATTATAACACGAACTCATGTCCAACAGTGATAGTAATGAGGTCGAATTTACATAGCCGAGGTCAAGTGGGCCATGGCGCAACGATAAGGAACTCTCTGCACACACAAATGCAGACTTTTCTCATCTTACACTGTTACATGTAGGTGGTCAGAGAATTCAAATTGGATGAAATCTTAGATGTTTTCCCTGGAGTGATGTGGATCAGGTCTAATTATAAGTTGCTCGGTGTTAAAATTGGTCTAGTTAATCCTTAAGCAATTTGAGCGGTTCTGTAATAGGTTTTGGTAACACGGAGCGTAAAGATTTTCAGTTTGAAGTGATTTTCAGGCTTAAAGCGCAAAATCAGCCGATTGCGTTATTAGTAGGGAGGAATTTACGAATTGAAACTCTCGCAGACTCGGCCTACGGCCGATCGTGTCTAACAATAAGAGAAGTCTCCTGTTGACTACAAAAGGGTCTTCGGTGAGATGTTGCTGCTTTTCCTACCTGAACTGGCTACTGCCCTTTTCGACCCCTTACTGCTCACTGTAATACTATTAGTTTACTTAGCTTTGATGCTGAATATGGCTTGTAAAACGTAATTTGCTTCTAGAACTTCGCATTGCATGTGATGCTTGTTTTCAAGGATGTGTTCAGAAACAAAGTTTCACCCTATCTAATATCAGAGGCTGTTTATTTTTTCATCTTCGAGTGCAGGTACAATGCAAAATGTGTTGAAAGCATTGTCAGTGCAGGTCAGAAAAATGATTGACTTATGGAAGCAACAATCTATGGGTGCGTTCAGAGCAAATATTCTTCCAAACTGGTACGGGCGAGGCATTTTGTATCCGGCTTTTTGGTGATGCTGAGTGCATGGCTGATTCCACCCAAACATCCCACCAAGCATCGAAACTTTTTGGAATTCTACACCTGTGATTAGGCTACTCCCCATTATGCGAATACAATACGCAATCAATGTCTATTTTTTTCATCGACGATATAGACAGCGCATAAATCTTTGCGCAGCTGCTAGACCCGCTAACAGGGAAGCATGCGGCTGGTCTTTTCAATAAAAATTAGCGAAGATCTCTTGAATTCTGAAGTGGCCTTGTTAGCTGTGATTCCATTACGCTTCATAGCGTGGCTTTTTCGCCGAAGCCGATTAATCCGACGTTCTTTCGCGCGCACACACTGCCGCCCGTCAGGTGTACGGTATCGGATGACATCTCTTATGTCCAGATGGAATAGATAGGGATAGAGTTCCGAGACAGTAAGGTATGAGTTTATTAATAGCTCCTTAATATCGGAATTCACAGCAGCCGGAAAGAAAATTATTAAAGTCTCGAAAAGTAATGTTGTCATTGGAATTTGATCTAAGACTTCATTGTGACTGGGACTTCACCGCTTACAACAGGTGTTTTCCCCCCAGACGCTTAAAAAAGTGAACGCCATTTAGCAGTGACCCGATGGGACGTAGCGTCATTGTCATTCTCCATTGTCTGATCGCAACTAATCGAATGGTCTATTCGTGTGCTCCATGACCTTAACATTCGCTCCAGTAACTATCGCCGTCGCTGGCGCTGTGGTGAATGCAAATTAACCAGCCGTTTTTTGATGGATTCATTGTTCGTCACGGGTTAGGCTTGGTCGAGGTGGATATTTCGTGGAGGGAACTCAAGGCAGAAATAAAGCAGTAGATTGGTGGAGCCCAATATCTGATAACAGCCATGAGTCAATCAATGTAGCATTCAAATTGTGTGGTTGGAAACATAGTGGTGCTGGACAAAAAATGCATAGCGGTTTATTTACAGTCCGAAAACATTCTTGGCGTCTACTGCCGTTATTGGTAGCGTCTAGGGCTTTGGTGAAAAGAGCAAAGTTTTATTCGAATTTTTTAATGGATTATGCATGCAGCAGACAAATCATTTCACTAATTTCACTATCCTTTTTTTGCCCATCCATCTCGATCGGCGATATTGCTATGAAGTATTCTCGAAGAAAATGTTTTACGATTAGAATGAGGCTCAGAGAGAATTTTGAAATATCTAAAAAATTGCGAAATTTTGGGAGCTTTTCGGTGCAAGCTTGCAGCAACTTGCCAAATTTCGCGGTAGTGAAGTTGAAGTTTGATTTTGTAAGCCTCCATTCAATTCAAAGAAATGTTCCTAAAACGCCTTACTTGAATTTCCACCTACCTCCATTTGTTCCGAAATTTTACAAGCCACTATCCTACGGGAGGTTTTCATGAACTTACACCTATTCCCACAATAACAGTATAGAAAAGCAACAAAAGTCAGGAGGCTCTAAAAATTTAGTTTTCATCCAGAGTCGCAATGGCGTTTGCGTTTGTCCTGGTTCCCTAAGGACACTACTGGCAGCTGGTCATAGTGAAATCTGCGTCTAATAACTACTCTGGAAGACGTGCAGCAATAGTAACCCCATCTAAACATGAGGACAACGGGCCAACTCATTCAGATGACCGCATTGACCGTAGTGCTGTGGACAGAGTTAAGTCACTCTTCTTTAATGGACAGCTCTCATTCTCTCAGTGTGTGTATACGTGCGAGTATTGGCATAACCGCAGGTCAGCAATGTTGACCCTCACGTCTTTTAGCTACGGAGACACTTTGTTTGACTTAGATAACATGCTCGGTATATGAGGGCATTGAAGAAATACTGCCGATAAAAAGATCCTTTCCGTGGTTATATACTCCAAAGCGAATCTTCGATGACTGAGCTTCACCTCAACAGTTTTGAAGTCCATTAATCGATCTTCTAGGACAGGGAGAGTCAGATTTTGGAATTCACGAAGAGATTCAATTTTCGGACTCATAAGAACTCATGCTTGCCTTTGAAAAGGGATCACCAATGGCTGTCAAGAATCTTGGCCGTTCTTACTCCAAATCTGGCCATTTAGCGGTTCCGAGAATCTGGTGGTATACACGCAAGCGATATGCCCCGATCAAACGAGTGAAATACTAGTTCGAGCGATTTCGATACTTGTTTTTAACTCTGGCGTTGCCTTTAGATAGTATAAATTCATGAAAATTCCAATTTTTTAACGATTGGCTATTTGCTTGAAGCATAGTGGATGAAAACCATTTTTTATTTAGCAAACCCTTATGTTTGCCGGTCACTCGAATCCTTTGACTGAGCTGATCCGCAGGGTACGAGGCGTACCACCTTGTCACCGCATATGCATGATTCAGCTACGAGGAACAGAATTTATAAATTGAATCAGCTCAGCAGAAGCTGTGGATCCATCACCCTGATCTACGTGTATATCAAGGCAAGTACAGGTGAGATAGTCCGATCAACCCCCTATCCTGCAATTAGAATTGCGCTACTAGGCTTCACTGCCAACCAACTAGAATTTCTCCAATGAGGAGGAGGTTTTAGGGGGTCGGGATTCATTGTTAGATTCGACCAATAGATAAGTGATTAAATAAGTGAATATTATATGATGACTACGAGACGGTGATCTTTCGGGCAGCGCAGCCGAAAGCTAGGGTCGGAGAAGTTTGGCCCCTCCTCCTTTTCATATGGTCATGTAACGTAGGATATGTTTTGACAAGTCGTTCGAGTTCCGACACGTTCCCAGAGATGAGAGGATAACGGCGATTTGCCATGATGTTCATCGCCCACGTCATCGCCCTTTCAGTGAGGTGAGGTAGGTGGACGTCTGCACCCACCGAAGACAATGCTTTGTTTTGTTTCAGACTATAATCTACTTACTGCGAGCCTTGTAATCGAATGTGTCCCGAATTGTCACCAGTGAAGTGGAGAAGGCGAAGTTGGCGAAGCATCGTTTCAGCACGCAGAGAAAATGTAGTGTTCAGGTAGGATTTCAATGATTGCCTCGAGGTTGAGCTCAACGAATTAACCACATTTAAGTCAGTGTGCGAAAATTCTTTTCCATGGGAACCTAATATAGCCATACTGGGGAGTGATGCCCCATTCATTTGGTAGATTCTAAGTTGTTTCATGTATTGCCAACTATTGTTATTCACCGCAGTACGCGATGCAACAGTCTCACAGATTGTCGAGTCATTTGCAAAACTTCGGCCATGGATGCTGCTCGAACTCGTACTTGTGCTAGCCGAGCCGTGCCTCCTATTTTTTTTCAACCATGCTTTTCGATTCTCATGAGTGCAGGCAGAGGGGGTCGTATTTGGTGAAAGGTCTGTGTTGAGTGAAGATCATGCAAGGCTAATCATTGATGGACGGATATTTCCGTGCGATGACTAAACCACTGCTCAAGTATTAGACACACGGCGGGATTCTAAACTGAGCGTAATGAACGCTGGAAATTGGAACATCTGTCAAGACTTTTTCTGTATGTCTGGACAAGAAAAAAAGAGGGCAAGATTGTCGGTTTTCGAAACATCTCCCCGATAAGTTTCTCTTTTGATAATCCTCATGCAAATCAAGGTATATCTTCATTGACAATTTTGGTTCTACCCAGATCAGGCTGGATGACAAGAGGCTGAAATGGCCTTGGCAATATTCTAATCTGGGACCATGTATATGATGTTCGACAACATACCACTTTCAAGCCTTGAACCCTGAAAAGAACATGAAGTTCCTTAAGTAGGACCACTCACTTTTATCTAAATGTAGCAGCGTGCCGGTGGCCACGAGAGTGCAAGAGCTGGAAAGAAGGGAACAAGAAATGGCCAACAACAACGATATGAATAGTTTGAAGGAGATGATACAACGATTGATTGATATGGTAACCCTTTTGTTTTCCTGATTTCCACCTTTAATCCTCTCATTTACTTGACTTTTTTTGAAATAATCTCGTAGGGTAGAATTTCACGGTCTGACACCAGCGTGACAGCAAACATCGCTTATGACATACATTGAAGATCATGTAAAGTGAACTGAAATGCATTCGGAATCTTCTTCATTTACGCTGCTTTCAGCAATTGAATTCGCAGTTGTACAATGGAAAAGTGGATAATACAGAAGCGAATGCCAGTGAAGAGCTACAAGCAACTTTGAATGAGTTACAAGAGGTTTGCGCTTCCTTCCCTTTAACAATTTCACATAGTTCCACCTGAAGCGAGAACTTCAATCCCACACCTCAAGGCTGATCAAAAAACCATATCACGCCGACATACTAACTCTCTGTAAGCACAGGTACGCCAAACACTGCTCTCGTTCGAACGAAGATATGCAGCCGTTCAAAAGAAAAACGAGAAGTTGGAGGCTGATTTGTCGATGATGAAAAGAGAGTTGGATTTGATGAAGAGCGATGTCCACACCTGCAGAAAGAGTAGTTCACGGTGGAAGACGTGGAGACTCAGTCAGGTAGCGATAATATATCCTTTAATAGCGGCTAGCAGGATTATGAAAATATGGCTAGGACTTCGAACTTCCATTAGTCAGTGGAAGATTTCTACCAAGTAACAGTGTACAGTGCCATTTTCAGTCATTCGATGATAGCGTTTTGTGTTGCGATGGTGCTTCAGACAGTAAAGTGCAAGTACGAGAGCTGAAGGAAGAAATTGCAATGCTAAATAAGGAGTTAGAGAAACGCGATGCTATTATAGAAGTATGTTCTCGTTTTCCAATTCCGTTCCGAAAAAAATTACAGTTCAGCGATTCCCAAAAACACTCCATCCCAAAGAGGTGAGGACTCACAAGCGTGCGCGCGCAGCTACGAAACAAGCTTATTTGTACCGTATAATCATTCCATTCGACTGTTCTACTCGTTGGAGGTAAAGCAGTACTGGCAAAACCGGAATCTTTGCGACTCCTTTATTGGGACAGGTCAGAGTCGCTCACACCATTGAAATTTGTGCTAGGGGCAGTAATGAGGTATGGCTTGTTCACCATCTGGTCAGCCTAGTTCTTATAAAGTCAAAAAATTGAATATTCATGAGCTTGTTTGCGAAGGTTCAATCATCCCGATAAAAAAGAGTAAGCCGACTGCCTTCAATTAATCTCCACCAGCAACAATTGCCTTCATTTTTGGTACTCAAGAATTTTGATATAAATATATGAGACAAAGTACGGAGCCGGAATTCAATTCGTAGTAATAAAAAAGTCTATAGTAAATAAAATAAATGATAGACTGTACTATTTTTTAGACTGAACGTGCTCAACACAAAGCACAGTTGAAAGATTTTATCGCCGCAGTCAAGGTGGCCGAAAGGCATCGGGAAGAGGCACAGGCAGAACTGAACAGGTAGATTCTTTTTTCATAGGGAAATTCACTCCCTAATTGGAAACTCAAATTGTGGGTCTGGATTCAACCGTGCGTGAGACGTAGGCTTGTGAAAAAGTTGCTTCTCCTTAGATTACGATTGTTGAGTGTTATCCTCGCATCACAAGTAGCAGACCAGCTGCTCTGCAACTGTGCTGCGCGGCCTCGTACATCGCAGTTTTTGCTAATCTCTGTTGTCTGATTATGTGCAGGATGAGTGACGCCAATCGAATGATTCCTTCTCCTGATGAGGCGATATGGGACGACTTGATGCAGAAATACCAGAAGAGCACAAAGCGTAACGCGCTACTCGCCTGGGCTGAAGCGCAGTAAGTCAGAGTCCTATTCACAAGTTTCGAATAGATCTCCAACATAAGACATTTCCACAAGTTTTCTTCATATTCTAACGGAATCAGCAGATTGGAAATGAGCGATCATCCGCGTAGTGATTACCTCGGGCTAACGGTAGCTTCAAAAATTGCTGTGCAGCCGTCGCAATATAGTTCCAGTCAGTCGCTTCGCGGACCTTCGTCCTCATATCCATGTATTGCGTCCGTGCGATAACCTGTTACCTTCCAGCTCTCCTTTCCGATTTTCCATTAAACTTTGTATTATTTTAGCCTCACTGCCTATCCTTCCATATCTGTTTCGAACTTCACCTCAGACTGGTGTGATGGACGAGCTTTTTGCGCTCTGATTCATCATTTTCAACCTGAAATGGTGAGGATTTCAATGAAATGGACTGACATTAAGCAAGGCTCCTGGGCGTTATACCTCCCCATTCGAAACGCCACTCAAAAATGACTGACTCATTTATCTGAAAGACGCAGTACTTCATTCTATTCACTTATTTCACACATTATAGCCGGCGCGCCATATAATCGGCTGAGTGCGCAGGTAGTGTAGTGGTAAGTGGCGCACTATATCGCACGCATGGTCAGGGGTTCGAATCCCGGATCGATGCCCGCCTAGGCCAACCAAGCCTCCCATCCCTCCGGGGTCGGTGAGTTAGTACCAGGCTCATCTGGGAAAATAAAAGCACTGACTTCTACATCGGCTGGTTAGCGCAAGTCCTTGTATAGGCCAAAGAACCAAATGATTAGGAGCACTGTTATGACGATAAGCTGGTTTTGGGAGTTAGTGGGCTTTCATATCACCCACTTTTTATTCTCCCAGACACCTGGGTACCTGCCAGCCGATATGATGTCAATTAGAGTCCAAAGCGGCCCTTCTAAGAATTGGACGATTTCTCCCGATTCATAGTGTTGCCCTATATTCACTACAATACGGCAGACGATTGTTTCTGACTTACATAGTCTTCCTGCTACCCTGAGGCGTACTTATTGACTTATTTACTATCGATTACATCGCGTCTAATCAATCACATTGATTTTAACTACAACAATTGATTCCGTTGCAGATCGAACGTGCTTCATTGCTTCAACGGGAGAAGTGTCCAGAATTGGCCGTCCAACTTGCGTCAAAGTTGGAAATCCATATTAATCCGGCAACTTTTGGTGGCTCAAAGCCCGATTTCAAATATGTAATGGAAGCGGTGTTCGAGCTGTACAAAAAACTTGAGCTTAAGGATCGAGAATGTTGAAAATGAGAATTTCATAAATTTCGTCGTTTACGGTATGACATTACATAACTGTGATACGAACACATTTTCACTTGTTGAATAAAGTATTTTTTGTTCAACAAATGATCAATAATGGCTTTGAGATAGATCCTGTTTTACTAAAAAACAGAAAATATTGATGGCTCATGTGCGCGCGGGCGTACACCACTTAGCTCGTTCATTGGCTCGAAGATGGCTGGACCAATCACCGATCAACCATGGGGCCATTTAGACGGGAACGAAATTTCATAGCGGTAGGGGTCTCGCCGCGATTGTTTCGTAGAAGAATGGAATTACGGGTGGAATCGGATCTATGCTGAAATTTCATTTTTTTGACAAAGCGGCACAATTCGTTCGACAAGGTTTTAATTCAAATTTTGTTGCAGTTCTATTTAAATTTTTTCTTTTCGTGGGTGACTTTCTGGACGAATGCTGACTGCCTTATGAACCGATTTTCTGCCTGTGGATCCTGTACGTTCTATTGGATCTGACCAGTAATAGTTAGGCGTGAGAATTTACTTGATACCAGTCGGTTCGCTCGGCTAACGCCGGGCTTCCCTCCTCCTCTGCTGTACAGGTTTGTTATGGTTGAATCGCACTATTTTCAAGTCCCTTCAAGCGACAATTCGTTTGAAATGTCGGACGATAAAGTGCTTCGACGTTCATAGAAGATCGGAAGTGGAAGTTATATTATATTGCTTAAAGAGTCCAAAAAATAAAAACGTTTCATAGAAAAATCATCAGATGTTGATCCAAGTGGTAGCACTAGCCTTCAGCACCATGAAGGTTCGAAGACGTTAATGTTAATGTCTTTCTGTCATCATTTAGCGTTCTCTTGATTTCCTCATGGATATCCTCTGTGGTCCTTGTTTTGGGCCTCTTCAGCCTCCTCTCTAGGAAGTTGATTTTATGAGTTTATAAGTGAGGGCCTGAATTTTTTTTAGGCATACACCTTTACATATCGACAGTGACTACTTCTCGGAGTCTGCTTCTTCTTCGTTCAATTCCGTCGGTCATGGTGTGAGATCCACAGGAAAAAGATGTGCGGCTACAGTACTTGATAGCTCGAATGTCTGATAAAAAGAGAGACTGTAATCATGTCCCGCAGAGCAGGGTATAGTCCCACTTGCCAACTGAACCCACTCCCACTGAACTTCCACTCTTCAAAATGACCCCACTGTGATCATGACTTGCAGAATTGTATTTACATTACTTATTTACATCGGCAATTGAGAAGAAGGAATTATGCCCAAAAGTAAAATTAGCAGTAGATGAGTTCAAGTACAACACCGCACTTGAGTACAATTCACTAGTAGCAGCAATTAAAATACAGTAAAATGAAAAGAAAACAACTGTGAGGGTAGAAAATGGTACAAATTATAAGAACGCGTTCTCGAAGCGAATAGAACATAGCGTAACGATACGGTGGTTGCACGCTGTCTGCAATTGCAGACAGTTTTTAAGATTCTTGGTTCAAAATTTTCTATGCGAACATAATCATTTAGTGTGTATTCCATTAATTTTTCTCCAAGTAGACTTCATCATGTTTCTGTTCTGCTTAACGTCGTCGTATGGGGAATGTGCCGAATTGATCTGCGCTTTCCTGCAAAAAGAGGGTTTGGGAGCCCTTCGGCCCTTCAGGACTTAATCATCGAGGAGTAAAGAGCGTTACCCCCCATTTTACATGAAATTGTGAGTGTTCAGGTCCGAGACTGGATGGAGTAATCGGGACGAGCTGTCGCGGGTCACTTATGGCTAGCAATTTTGTCCACTTTATCGCTGATACTTGATGTCATTGCCTTGCCTTCTGTAGTGATTCTGAGAAAAGATTAAATTTTATCGAAGGAAAAGCTGCACGATCAGTCCAGTAATCGGGGAGAAATTCGATTGGGCATATTGATTTGCATATAGAGCGTTCATTTTTTATTTGTTTATGTTTTCCGCGAGTCTTTCGAGCAATTGCGATATTATGTAGCTGCGGCTTTGAATATTTCTTGAAAATTGTTTTCTAATTCCTGTTTTCTGTTTCCAGGGTGAACCTAGAGATCAATGGCAGTCCCACAAGATGCAGAGGAGCCTGTTTGCCCTGAACGTTTTCGAGCTAGCCTCAAAGAGTCGTCATTCACTGTGCCGGACATTTCTACAAAAGTTTTCAAAGAGGAATGCACATACTGCTTTCGAACTCCTTTTTTTGCAGGTTTGTGAGGAAGCAAGATTCTTTTCTAAACTATCAGTCTAGATTAGTCCCACTATGGCTTGCCCTGCGGCTCTGAGACGTGAGTAGCGTGCCAACGAATATCTGAATGCGGGCTATGGCCATTAATCCCTCCCTGCAGCAATAATTTCCACAGGATGCTTCACATTTTTTTGGGGGGAAGAATACAAGAGCAATTTCGATTATAGGAGAGATAGCGGTTCACTGCTTCTGCTATGGCTCAGCTAGGCAGTAGAATAAGAAAATGCTTCCCTACACTTCGTACCACAAAAGTTCTTTTGAGCTGCATAGTTCTACTTCTAGAGTAGTATACTGTTGAAAATCAACCCGTTGCGGGATATTGTTCAATTTTTATGGTAATTCTCAAAATTACTCTTCTTTAATTCTCACCCGACTTCGGATCTTCCAGGTGGTATTTTCGTGTGCCTTAAAACCTATGCCTGCTTTTGCTTTACACATGTGGGTCTCTATGCGGAACAGTCTCGGAACACCTTATTCCTTCATATTTTGAGTAAAAAGGTGAGGTGTTCAATCTTTTCCAAAACTCAGTTTCACGAAAGTGCCAAACAAGTGTCGTCCACTTTGCTGAAGTACAAAGAGTAGCTATCCATGTATGTGTTGTACTAGATAAATAATACAAGCCAAACAGTTGTGTTCATTCATTTCGCAGAGATTCCTGAACGTCTAGGTTAATCTTGAGTCTGAGGAAGAATCGGATGGAGAACCAAAGGACAAGATTACTCGTCTTGCTATTGATACAGGATTCGAGCAAAAGTAGGAGTTTTCACTACGACATCAAATGAATTTTGTACAAGATTTTGCTGCTTTAGATTTGATGTCCATGATACCTTTTCTCTCGTCTCATTCCCACATATTAATGCCAAATGTCCAATTGATGAAAAGCTTGGTTCCGATTTATATGGGTTTGTTTTTTTATTTATTTTAATCAATTAATGTTTTTTATTCACTTTTTTGAAAAAATGCCTGTTCATCAAAATGGCATTCGATGAGTAAGTATTATAGAACATGTCAGTACGTAATCGCAGCAACAAGTGCCGAGCGGATAGCTTTGCTACAAAGTGCCAGCAATGCATGGGACGGAGAGGTGCAGATCACTGCTTGTTGTTTGCATTTTCATGCGTTTTCAGCTTTTTAAATCTGTTCGTTACAGATAAAACAAATAACTAAACACGCCAACCTCGAACAGTTATCTAATGGAAAAATTGTGAGTTATTTGCATCTTCACGACTGACAAAATTATTTTTAAAAGCTGCCCTCCAGATTACAAGTCGGATTTTATTAATTCTTAATTAGTCTCTTTATTAGTTCATAGCGTACCTCTTGTTTCTTAACAATTGAGATTTATTGAGGCTTTTCTCATACAAACACACTTACACTTTCTATCTGTGACTTAATCCCCAAAAGTAATCGGCAAGGTTTGTGCAACTTTTCAATATAGAATACGGTCTTCAGCTTTCATAGCCATTGCTATGAGGCTCTTTTTTTTTCTATAAAGGGAATTCAATTCAATCTCAAGAAAGAAAATGTGTCATGGTTTGATGGAGAAGGATGTCACTCTTCATTCATTTCGAACGATTCATTTCATTTAAGATTCCAATGAGTGGTTGGACTTGCGAAGCCGACGGTTGTACTATGAATGAAAACTTATGGTTGAATCTCACTGATGGTGCTATTAGATGTGGCAGAAGTCAATTTGTAGCCGAAGGTCAAATGTGCAAAGGAAACAATCACATGAAACAGTATTATGATGCTACAGGGTATGCTTTTCTCTAATCACCTTATTGACTCTTTGATTCAAATCGAAACTCTTTTTAGTTATCCTTTGGTTGTGAAGCTTGGCACTATTTCAAGCGAAGGAACTGCAGACGTTTTTAGGTTTGCCGTTCTCGCTCCCATTTGTTTCTTCACCAAGCTTTTTTTTTATTGAACACCTTTAGTTACGACGAGGATGATGCTGTCATCGATCCCAATTTAGAGAAGCATTTAGCTCATTTTGGTATTGATCAGAAGAAATTGAAGAAGACCGAGAAGAGCACTCTGGAATTGGAACTGGACATGAACCAAAAGTGAGTCAATGGAGTTCTGTGAACAACTGATAAGAAGATCTATTTAATATTTTGTATGTTCTCTGTTAAGGTGGGAATGGGCAAAATGCCAAGAAGATGGCGCAAGTTTGGAAAATATCTTCGGACCAGGTTATACCGGTCTGATCAATATCGGGTCCAGCTGCTACATGAACTCGGTACGGCATATATTTCTGTTGTAGCTATGTGACCCAATCAACTATGATCAGGTTTTACAATCTCTTCTTGTGGTTCCATCGTTTGTGACGAGGTTCGTTGATGGCGCTGGTCCGATACTGGCCAGAGTTCCTCCCCTCGATGTAAGTATGCTATCACTTCGAGTGATTGAATTCTATATCGCTAACCTATAATTGGTCTTATATGTATGGTATTTAGTTGTGTAAGGTCACATGATCAGATGTTAAGGTTCACCACGATTTCAACGCACAAGTGGCTAAGTTGTTCTCGGCTATGGCTAGCGGAGATTACTCGGTGGTACGTTTGAATCACAAGTCTGATTACAATTATAGACAAGACCTAGTTGGAGAATGCTGCTGCGTGTTTTTTCTTACCTTTTTATTCCTTTCAATCGCGACTAGTTTAGGAAAATAGCACCCTGAACGGTATAAAGCCATCGCAGTTCAAACGTGTAGTTGCTGGAAATCATCCAGAGTTTTCTTCCAGTAGACAACAGGATGCAGAGGAGTACGTTAGGTATGAACATTTTTAATCGCCTGGGAATGGTTGGCACACTTATGACTTTTTCGATTAGCCACGAGTTTTTACGACATTCTGTTCTGCGGTTATTAAGATTTTCTCGATTGAAACCTGCTACCTGTTTCCTCCCAGTTTTTTTTTTGTGAACTTGAGGCAACTTTCCTCTCAACTCGGTGGCCTTAGTATCGAAACTTGAACAAGTGTGATCTTATGATAAGAATAGTCATTTTGTCAGTCTTCTCATGCATTTGAAAGTCTGTCGGCTTTGTCAAAGACCCTGAGCCTACCTATTTTGGAAGGCTACTGGATGGAAAATGGTTCTAGGAACATTTGCCAGTGCTGACTTTGCCCATCTATGTATGTTTCTTCAGATTCTTGCTAGACAAAATTTCATCAAATACGCCTGTCGAGGTCAATGATCCAACGTTATCATTAAAGTGAGTTCCAGCTTTCATTCTGGTTCCAAATTACTGCAGATTTTGTGATAGTTATCCCTGTTTAATTTTGTTTGGTCAGGTTCAAGATGGAAAGTAGATTCGAAGATATTGCATCCTCAATGGTAAGGTACACAGACAGAGAAGAAACGGTACTCGCTGTGCCGGTACCGAAGGTATTTTTTTTCATAACAAATCCCGGGTTCCGCGTCTACCATGTTATTTTTAAAGGCGGCAATCAGGGCTGGTGATGGAGACGGGCAACGCTCCACTGTTGCACTTACTGACTGTCTTTATGCACTGTTCGAACCAGATACGATAGAGGTTTCAAAATTTTTACTCCGCTTGTTGTTTTTTATTTTCGAATCTTGTCGGCTCTTCGAACTCTGTGAGCAGTAACTGTAACTGTGTATATTTTAGGACTTCGTTAGTCCTGTCACGAAAGAGAAGAAAGGAGCGCGTACAACCCTACGGTTCAAGACTTTTCCTGACTTCCTTTTTCTGCAGGCACAGGTGAGCAAAGTATGAGATCATTTCATGCTCTGTTGATTTACTATAGTATTTAAAAAAAGTGTTCGCTGGTGCTGGTAATCCTGGTTAATCCAAACAATTAAGTATCTTTCCAGAGATTCACTATGTCTCCAGATTTCACTGTGAAGAAGCTTGATATAGATTTGCTGGTAAGTCATAAATTATATACTTTCCAGTACTTTTATTAACTCCTTCACTGCTTACAAAGAGCTGTGCTCGTCGTATTTATTTGAAGGAGCCCGCTCTTTTGTTAGACAAAGTGCACTTCACTAATATTCCAGAATGGCTAACTTGAAAATTGGGTGAAAATGGTGTAGAAACACTTGGTCTTACCAGCTGGGTACAAGTGGAGAGCGTGCTTAATCCGGTAGTTGGAAAATTCTACTTCTCATTTCATTTCCACGTGCCTCTTAGGTCCCGGATGAAATCGATCTATCCGGTCTTCGAGGAATAGGGAAAAAGGAGGACGAGACTCTTCTTCCTGATGACGCAACAGCATCAGCACCTCCAGCTCTACCAGACTACGATAAATCCATTGCAGAACAGGTGCGCTACTTCTTTTAGTACTTTATACGTTCTCTTTAACTTGATTAATTTGATGCAGCCTTTCTTTTCAAGTTAGAAGCGATGGGATTCACGCGAAATGCTTCCATAAAAGCTGCCATAGAGACTGGTAGAAGTGGAGGTGTAGAAGCAGCCGCTGAATGGGTTATGTTACGCCTGGACGACCCATCACTCAATGATCCTCCAGCCGTCGCTCCTGGTGGTCGTTCAGCTTCTGCAGGACCGGCTCACCTGGAGGGGCTTGATGAGCTGGTAGCCTTTGGTATGAATTTTCTATCTGCTCTTCATTTCGTTTTGTTTATCAATTGGTTTCTGAGCGTGTCATCATAGGTTTCACGCCTCACCAGGCTCGTTATGCTCTGAATCGGAATCCGGACGCGAACGCAGCTGCAGAGTGGTTGTTTGTTCATGCTGAAGAGGTAATTTCCGGCCTTGCTCCTTCGAGTCTTTCCAAAAGTTTATGTGATGCAGATTCCTCCGGAGTGTGGCGCTGCGGTTCCCGGGGAAAACACGACGCCTTTGGAGCCGGCTACATCTCGGGAGTACAGTGATGGAAGTGGAAAATATCGTCTCGTCGCCTTTATTAGTCACATGGGTAATAGTCCGCACTCCGGCCACTATGTGGCTCACGTGAAAAAGGAGCACAGATGGGTGAGTTAAAGAGGCCGCATCAGAATTACGGAAAAGATCAGAATATAAGTGCTCAATCGCATCTCTTAACTGTAATGTAGAATCAAACATTTGCATTCTTTTTCCAAGCTAGGTGTGGGACCACAGCCCAATTGAAATAGATCTAATCCAGGCGTTGTGAGAAGCACCTGTGGGGTTATATAGGAAGTATAAACGCTGCATCTCATCAATGTCGGTGTTTTGAGAAAATATTTCCCCGTTACATTTGTCCTTATGAGTGCCCCTTTCTAATTTTTTCAAAACTTGACCGCTACCATCGAAACTGTATCCTGATTTTTTACTACAGGAATTTTTCAGTGATGTCAAATTCGGCTTAGTAAAGGGGCGGTAGTTTAATCGTTTCAGATCCTTTTCAATGATGAGAAAGTGGCGATATCACAAAATCCACCTCGTCAGTTAGCCTATCTCTATCTATTCCAAAGAGCAGAGTAATGGGTACTTTTTATCGTGATGTCAAATGGAAGAACACTCAACAAATTTTTCTTCTTTATAATGGTCTTTTATCTACCAAGTTCTTGTAAATGTCTACCTTACGGCTATTGTGAAAAGTGTAGGTAAATAAGGAATTGTTCTCGGTTTATTGTACGTTCAACGCCAATCTCTTCTACAAAATCATGTAAGCGATTACAGTGTTCGATTATGTTTCTGAAATTGCACTCTCTTTCACCATGTTTTTATAGCGCTCCTAACCTTCGTGTTGTTAATGAGTTCTGAGCGTTGTAGATGTTCTATCCTTAATCTTTATCGTTGATAAGAAAACATTGATTTCATGTAATAAATGGCAAGAGTTTACGAGAAGGCACGGCGAGGAAAGCAGTAGAAAATGGTGTGGCTGGTGATTGGATGTGAGGGAAGTGTGTTCTACGGGTTCCTGAGAAAAGAGCGAGGCAATGACGGTATGTAAAGGAAAAGAATGCGACACGAAAGACTAGTTCAATGCAATACAATCCTAATTGGCATTGGCCGAGAATGGAAAAGATGTCCTCTACTCAAACAAATGCGATCAGATCGTTACCCGTTCACGGTATCTCTGTGCTATGAGTAATAAGTATAGTGAAAATGCACTTCGAACACATATATTTGGAAGCGAATCTATAAATGAATGAATTGACGGTAAAGTTGCTGACATCTTACGGATATGTGTGAACATTAGCGAGCTCCCAAAATCTCGCAGTGGTGGACAGATGTCAGTAGGAGTCGACCAAGTTCGCCGTAGCGTAAGTTCGCGGAATTCACCGTACTTCCATTACCGTAATCGGCAGCTGTCTACTAGCACTTGGCATGCGATTGTCCATTTTGGTCGATCCGTCGGATCGGCCAGGTTTTGTGCTAGCGTTGTTTTCGATAGATCGTGCTTGGCGTTGAGCTAGCATTTCAGGATCATCCCTGAAATAAAGCTTGTACGACGCTTGTTTAGATAGCAATAAATACTTCCATTACTTATTCAAACTTGAAGGAGGCTGTGAAGAGCAGTAGAGCCCAGTTCTGTAACAATTGAGGTCCCAGTTCGTAGTGCTTCAAAAATTTTGCCGTAACGGCATTGTACTATTGGGAGAACGCATCAAGATGTAGAACGTAAAATGAAGAGTAACCTCCCCAGGTTCCCATGTTCGACCAGCGGTCATGCGGAATATTAGTCCTCACCTTACTTTTACGTAGCAAATTAATAGGGTCCACTTACTGTTTTGAAAGTTGTCCTAGATTCTGTGATCTGAATCTCACGAACCTTATGTCATAGTGGCGAATGGTCCAGTTTATGTTAGTTGTCCAACATCGGAACAGCACTCGACACACAGACGCTTCAGCCCTGTACTGCGTGAAGACGGCGATGAAAAACGCCGCGAAGAAGAGTACTGAACAGACTACAACCGTCACGTCGTCGTCGGAGAGGGAGGATGAGACGACACGATATCCTCTGAAAACAAGAAATATATCGAAAGCATGTTCAGCTAGACACCCTGTCTCCTTTAGCAAAAGTGCGAAAGTGCTGGTTTAAGGTAACTATCAAAGGTGAGATGAGGTAAGGTGAAGATTATATGTGATACAACGCGCAGGGTCCTGGATCTGATTCTGAACCGAACTTTGTCCAAGCCGTTGAGGACGCTCACCCTCCAGGGAACATTGAGTGGACGGAACCTTTCGGTGGTGAATAAATACTGACATGTAACCCAGGCCATTGAAAACACTTTAATTTTTTCATGTGCCAATCGCCCGTACTGTATGGATCACTCAATAACACCTAACTATGTGGTAAGGCATTGTAAGATGGAATCAATAAAACGAAACCGCAAAATCATTGCATGGGAATCATATTCGGAATCAAATCCAACTGCATTTCTCATTGAAATTCGAGGGGATCAAGCAATACCAAAGGTTTTTGATAAAGAACCAGCTATAAACAGTTCAGGGCGAGGTGGCCAGTTGGAGAGTTACTTCTCTGATAGGAACACGGGCCGGTGAATGTGGCGAAGGTAAGATGGACTCTGATCACTAAATCTATCACTAAAACTACAAGTCGTGCCTTTATATTCACAGGCCGCAGTTTCAAGAGCCCTTTCTGATAGTCAACATTGGGATGAGTATATTCGTGTGACGGATTTTTAGGCTCTTGGCATAACCTTTCGAAAATGAAAGTTACTTAAAGGTCGAAGTAATGCATGGATTTCTGCTTCTGCCTCTAAAGCCCTTCCGGAATTCCTCCGATCCCTTTGACAGATAACTGGTACTAGATTCTTCCAGCAGGATAAAAGAACTGGCTGGTATATCGACTAGTCTCGGATCTCAAATGTACCAATGCGATCTACCACTGTATTCAGTCAAGTCCTTTTCTGTTTTCCGGCAGATTCGGTGTCATTTGACCGACCCTCTGATGCGATTCGATCTAGAGCTGGAATCAATTATGCGAGACATTCAGCTGATACACGACGTCATGGCGGTCATCTGCCTCACCCCCTCTTCCTTTTCTCATCTCCAAATTGTGACTGTTGACTGACCTCCTCCGTTATTGGGAACTTGTGTTCATCTCGAAGGACTGTGTGTGTGCTTTTTTATTGTTTTCACCCGTTCTCGAAGAAAAGCAAACATTTTAACTGGTTCACTGGCAATCAATGTGCATTTGTTATTCCCACAACTGTTCGAATAACATGCCGTTGTGGTGTTATCGCGGATTTCCCACGGTTTTCTTCGAACCAGCACAACAACATTCAGTTGCACTTTCTGTAGTTATAATACAGAATGAGCTGTAGCTTGAATGAAGAACGATTTCCTCACTAGTTGTAATGCAAATGAGCAAAGTGAAGTGAATTGAGCGATAGAAATCACACAATTCTTCCAGGATTCATGTCACGTCTTCGTGTTTTGGATCTGCGAACAGGCTTGTAGTAAAACTGGAAAAAACCCCATGCTTTCGAACGATTCTACGTAGAAATCCATCACCGCTCAAAAAAAAGCGTGTGAAAACTTACTTCGAGCGAAACCCGCAGAAACTTTTCCCCTCTCAATAACGTTTTCTCTGCATTACACCCATGACAGTCTAACTCATCAGTCTTCCTTTGTAATGGAACCCACTAAATCTTTCTCCACCTTCTTCAACTGCTCCTTAACCGGATACCAACAGTTTGCCATCAATCAACTCCTTAAACGCTGCTCTTTGCATTTCCACTCTCACTGAAGAATTCTCAATCACCTTTCATGACTCTTACTTGAGACGGCGCTGAGACGATATCACGAAGTTCAAGCAATATCATTACACCGTCATCTTCAGCGAAAACTACGCGGAAAGATTCCAGCACTATTCGGTTCCATTGGGTCAACCTGGGCATTGGGTACTCCACAAATATTCAGGATGACAAATTCAGCTCGAAGTGGAGGTAACTCTCATTCGAGGCAAAGCTTATTGTTAGTATGAGGAATGCCAGGTAGCACCGAGACACCAGAATTTAAGAAGGAAAGGACATTATCCGGGAGCCCCAGTGCTTGTTTCACAAAAAAAAAAGTGAAGACAGTGACAAGAGCGGTGCCAAATTTGCTGAATTTCGAAGTGCAGATCAGAATCAAAGATATCAGGTCTCAAACCGATTTTTTGCTTTTATCCAAGGGATTTTACATGGGCAGGAATGCGGAGGAAATGTGCACTTTTTAGGCGTTCCAGTTACGTGTAATATTACGCTTCTGAGTGAACAATGTTGCGACTTGTATGAGCACCATCTCTGTGGCTTTTCTTTAATGCTATTATTGTCAAAAGAACAGGCGTAATGGAATAAATGACTGTTGAACGAACACCTAATGAGAGAGGATGGCAGTGAGAGCCCCATGTCTATTAGAGCTGCTCATTATCTTCCTGACATGGGATGCGCAGCTCATTTGAGCAGCTTGAGCCAGCCTCATAATCGAGCCTTTATTGGAGTCAAATTCGCTATGATGATGTCCTAAATTGCGTTTATCCTTGCTTGAACAAAGTCAAATTACCATCACATAGTCAAGTGGAGCTTCTTGTTAGCTTTCCCAGATCACATTCGAAAATAACCGATGGAATTGACCTTGATATGCTCACGGGTGCGCCACGTAAATCGTTTCCATCAAAATCGCAAAATCAGAAAGTATTCAAAGGTGGCGACAAAATGGCATAGCTTTGATTGATGTGGTTTGCTATAGTACAAATACAGATTGCAAGATAAAATTGCGCAGCTCGAACAGAGTCGATGATTGGATTGAATGAAATGGAATGGTCTAAGAGCTGAGTTTCCATGTTCGGAAGTATGATCCTTTATTGGAAGCAAACTCCACTTATTACCTAACAGTTACGCGCAATTAGTGAAATACAGTCAAGAAGTCATAGTCTCTGCCTACTTTATAGCATATACCGATTCTCGACGGAGAATCCTTGAATGAGATTTGGGAAGTTCCTTAAACGAAAGGTAAGGTCTCTCTGTGTGGGATTCAAAAATCGATATGAGAAGACGAAGATAAGGCGAGACACAGATCATCAGCTTTGAGTTACCCTACATAACCAAACTCCAATCAGGGTTTCCCAATCCAAGGATCGGTCCTACCAGTACCTACAACACCTGCTTAAACTGCACTATCTATTAATCTGTTCAGTATAAATCTTCTTTGATTTCTGACAGGATATAGTTTCATTTGACCGACCCTCGCATGCGATTTGATCTGAACCGATGAGAATCGATTCTGTGAGACGCTCGGGTAGATGCGCGGTGGCACGGATCTCGTCAGTCCTCCACCTCATGCAGCCAACTCCTAATCAGGCTTTTTCAGTTGCGAATCAACCCTACTAGCACCCTTGTTGATTCTTAGATAATCTATAAGTCTACTCACCAGAATGCTTTACTAATTTCTGAGTGTTAGATATCATTTGACTGACCCTTCGATTCCGCCTACGGCGGAAATCAATTCTGCCGGCACGGAGTACATCACTCTCAGCTTTCCCCATTGCCTTCACCTACCCGTTCCATTCTTCTCAAAAGACTGGAATTCATATTTGATATTCAGTAATTCGTTGTATGCGTCCATGAGCTGTTATTCAGGACGGTCTGTCTACAGATGTGCTGTCATGTGAACCTCTCTCAAACGTTCACATGACAGCACATCTAGAGGCAGAACGTCCTGGATTTTCCCAAGAATGCGATGATGTCGCTTTCCATTCGGTTCTGGAAGCCACTACCTCCGTGAAGAGAAAAGTTGTTTCATTTGAACACTTTTTGGCTAGATAGACATGATCTCTTTCAGAATAAAATGGTTGAAAAGTGTGAGCCTGTCTTCCAGTTGCGGTATGAACCCATATAGATCTAAAAGTAAGTCCGGGGGCAAATAGTCAGCGAAAAAGCGCTCAACAGGAATCTCTGGACTCATTTTCCGATGTTTTCAGAACTTTGCGATCATTGAAATGGCTAGAAAAACAGAGACGTAGGAATGCTTCGTCAGCAGCCACTTAAAAGTTTTGGATTGTTTCAACGGCTATCGGAAGCAGATCTACCTATCCAACTAGCACGACACGAAATGAGGAGATCGAGACGTGAGTTTTGGATTTGTCAAATGTTCCCTTTACTTCTGTTAGCTCATTGAGATTTTTCACAAATGCGGAGAAGATATGGCATAGGGCGAACATAACGAAAAAAATCCAGTCCAAGGTCCATTCATCAAAGAAAAAAAAATTGATGAAAAGGTCTAGTTGTATTGAAAACGTAACAGTATCGCTCACCTCAACGTGGAATGATATTGCTCGGAGAGTTGAAGGAAATGTATTGATAAAACGGCACAGACAACCATAATAATAAAGACTATGATGAAAAGTATATTCAGAAGGCGATCCCTAGTCGAAAGGTGAGGAAAATGTAGTGAAGATAGCTGAAAGAAAGCAACGATGAATTAGTATCAGCAAATGTATAATTGTATTTCTTTCAATTAATAGTGGACAGGAATTTCGATTAGTTGAGGGATGGGCATCAGAGAAATGCTGTTGAGTAGCCGGCAAGTATCTAACTGGTAAGGAGGCAAAACAGGTCGGAAATGTAAATAAAAAATTGAAAAGAAAATGTGTTACCCAAATCTACGCGAATTTTTTCAAATCGCTTTTTCTCATTTTGAGTAAATTTTTATTCTTTTTCTCATTGAGACAAAGCCCTTAATTGCCTTTAATTCATATTTAGGGAATTTTCTGAAGGCTTGCAAGACCTTCGAACAGATTTCACTGTCTATCTCTAGCCTGTAACCGATTGTTTATGTTTATTAACTATATGAAGTTCCGATACCTATAAATTAAACAGTTATCATTCGAAGATCTATTTTAATATTGACTATTTGTAGGTAAAGATGTAGTAGGAAGGGACCCGTCGCTATGCTCCGCCGGTAATACCCTCTAACGGTAGTTCCTAAAGCCCAAGAAGGACCATCAGCCGAATTTGCGGGCCTCTAGTAATGCTTAGAAATTATTCAAAGCTAAGGCGATGTGGTCTTAGCCTGAGCCTAGACAATTGCGAGAAGACGAATGGTCCCCAGTTACTGAATTTTCGGCTCAAGTGGTTTTCCCCGTTTCGAAGGTTACAGAAAACGCTCAAGTTCCGATTGAACCAGTTACAATCTTCAAAGTATACCATGATAGTAGAAGACTACTTTTTATTATCAACTGATCAGGGTGCTGTCGCTCGTGCTAGAACTTGAAGAATTCTTTGTGTATCCTATAAGAATGGACTAAGGAAAATATTCAAAATCAGTAGGTTCAGGGAAGGAAAAATCGAAAACTTCAACCTACTTTGGGCATCACAAACTTGACCCCTCTACCTTCGATTCTACATACAGTTGAAATTCACAGTTGACTACAATTGAGAGTTTACAGTTTTTCAGTTATTTATAGTTGAAGTATCATTTAATTTCTCACCGGCTCACTAAGTCTGGCCATTTTTTGTTTATTTTTTAAAGCCACCTGGGCTTGGTTGTAACAACAACTCAAACGGAGGATAGACGAAAAATGATTGTGAGCAATTGGGAGGCTTTTCAAGTTCCTAATGATTTAGACTGGTGAGTAAACCCTGTCAGGTTAGGGAGTTAATACGAAACTCAAGCCGGAAACGTCATGAATCGAAGCTCTTGAACAGATAGCTCAGTGATGAAGGCCTCATCTTTCCATCAAATTCGCTGCGCCACCATTACCTAGATGTGTTCGCGGCTCCTTTATGAATTGAGATTGTTTGGACAAATTTGTTCGAAAAACGAGTAGGCTTCTTAATTGGAGACGCAATCTGTGCTTTCAAAAAAACGCGCTCAATGAGCAGAGCAATATTGCAGCAGAACGATAAAAAAATCTAATCGTGGCGTAGTTAGGCGATAAAGTGATGGAATGACGAGATAAACAGCTGTTCAATAAATATCTGTCGAACGTCCAGGTACAGGTCGGTACATTCCATTAGCTCCAGCATATCAAAGCTGGACCCCCTAATCGTGGCAAGACCCTTCATCTCTCATTTGAAGGGTCGGCCCACCGATTTTGTCAGGTTTCAGCAGCTAGATGAATCTCTCAGAACTAAGAAGCTGCTGCTTCCGGATATGTCTATCTTGGTAATAAGCCTAAAGTTACAGTGGCTGGAAGGCCTCAGAATATTCCCCTGAAAGCGTCCAGTATTTGGTTAACCCCTGGTTAGACCAACGGGAGACGAGTGAGCAATTGATCTAATATCAATAGGGACTGTGAAGTATTTGCAAGATTTTTGTGCGCTTTGGTTTTTCCCTAGTCGCCCCTAATCTGGCACCCTGAAAACCCTACCAGCCTTGATAAGAAACTTAAGAAGTCTTTTAGTTTCCTCATAATCGTCTCCCGTCTCTTCCTCAATGCGTGCCCACTTCTTTTTTCTTCGGAATGGACTGCTATTGGGACCTAGGAAAGTGGCTGCGAGATCCGAGTGGATGGAGAGTTGCTTTGAAGAATGTGAGGGAGTGAATAGAACTCCATTTTAGCTAGAGGCACGATTTCCATTCAGAGAAAGAGATAAAATAGAAATAAGTTTTAACTCTCATGGAAAATAGCTTTTTGTAGGAAGTAAGAAAAAAAGATGTGTCTATTCCGTAATATGGAAATTCACAATCAAAGAAACAAGGTCTGTAACATGCTTGGAGAACTGTTGGGTCAACACTTTTGAAGCAGTAAACTCAGCAGAACTCTCAAATCCCTTAACTACAAATTACTTTAATAAATTTTACTATTTAAAAAAGGGCTGAGCGACTTCTACAGCGCACCACCAAATCGTCACTTCACTTGGTATCAAATGTGTCGAATTTGAACGCACTTTTGAGGTTTTTATGATATAGTTATAATGACCATGACCACATTGAGCCGTTTGTTTGGATTAGTAACTTTTTATGTGAATTGTCATAGATAAACATATGTCTAGAAGTTTATGAGTTGCTCGCATCTATTTTTCGTATTTCCTGCCCTAAACTATTTTTTGTTTTACAAGTTTTCTTTCCCAAAAAAATTCCCCTTGGGCTCTATCGTAATGTAGAACAAATCTACTGAAACCCTCTTTGCCACGGGTTCCCTCCTCTTTTCCTTCCTTCTTGTGTGAAAAATATCCCTGGTCCACGATTGATTTTCAAGCGAAAAGGGATGGCCGGAGAGGAACAAAACGAACGAATTGAAGTGAATTTAAACCATATGGCCTTGCATGTATGTATGTATCTGGCGTCGGATAATATACACACACGCAATGCGCCTAAATATTCAATCGTATGTCAAACTGCTGTGGAACAGCTGTGCCAATGACACTGCCCCACTGTTGAAAGTGTTCAAAAAAAGTAATATCAAATCTGTGTTTAGTAATTACTGCCAAAAACGAAAAGAGTACATTTTGAAGAGCTTATATTCACGAAAAAAATGGAAGAATTGATATATTATTAATGGGGATAGGATCATTGCCGAAATTCAGCATTTGTCGGGGTGCTTCCGATTCTTCCAGTTACTATTCTAAAAGACCATTCAGTGACACAATCCTGTGTAGGCTTGGTAAGTTTCATGCGGGCCCCATAACATTATTCTTTTAAAAGAGCATATCGTAGAAAAAAAAACTGAAAAATCAAAAGTGAAAGTTGAATACTTATTCGACTATGAAAGTACTAAGTGGGACCTGTCTAGGGACGAACTACCGCCTTTTTCAGGGCTTAGTCAACTTGAGAACCTGGCAGGTGTACTTCATGACCTTATCATTACAAAATGGGAGCACATACATTGATGTAGTTACGGCGTCTGTAGTTGTAACCACATAATTCACAACGTGGTGATGGCATCATTTTGCGAGTAGATAGTTCAAGCCAGTGCTGAAAGGCACAGTTCATAAAGTCATGAAATTACCTTGAAAAAAGTTGGTAAAATTTTTAAAAAATACATTAATCTGTTGGAAACGAATGGCCGTATAGGATTGAATACATTGCATCATTCGATAGACCTACCACGAGGCAACTCCGATGAACGTAGAGTAGGCTACCGGAGCAGCGACATGGCGAAACAAAAGGGTCTCGGGTGCTTTCACATTCCGTGTGACAAATCCGGCATAATGCTGCCGACGACGAGCAAACAGATCCTTCAAGAAAAAAGAATTCGTTTATCGAGATTAACTAGTTCTAGAGTATAGCCATTTCGAGAAGGAAGGGGAAGCTACTAAAATAAGCACTCATTTCATTCATGTAGAAATCAAATGGCTTATCGAAAAATCTGAGATTAGCCATTGTTTGTGCAGTTGTTTCCCTCTTTCTGATTGAAGTTTGCCCAAATTTGAGCTCTGCGGATATTGTAGGGCTTGTAGGTGGCTTGAAAATGGTCTGTCCACATGTCTGGGTGCAGTACTCATCGATCATGTTCGTAGGGGCGAGCAATGACGGTCGCTATTATCTAGGCCAACTAGTTAATAGCTATCCCTTTGTCTACTATTAGTCAGGCATCAATGACGGCTACATCAGGGACCAGTGCCCGAGGTTAGCATAGCAATGGGATCGTCGATACAAAAGTCGTAGTTACGCTCATCTGCACGAATGAATAAACAAATGCCATATGGCCAGTGGTCAAACATTCATAAATTGCAACATAATGATCCAATTAGTGGGTTAGCGGTGATGAGGAACTCAGGGAATTTCAAGAAAAATACCTTTGCTGGCTGTCAAAGCAGAGCTGAGATGTTGGCTGGCCGCCCACTTTTCGCAGACTCCATTCTTCTCGTTTTTTGAAGTGGCTGATTCATCGACATCTTTCACGATAAGTGGCTGATTTTCAGTGGGAAACATTGTCGATGGCGATTCCTAGAATGAGTTCTCTTTTGAAGTCTCCTCTTGATACTCTTGAATAACCTGAACCCTTGATATCAAAGGCAGCCTTCAGCAACTATGTAGAATGGGAACAGTTAATTTTATTCGTTTCGGTAGGAAGTGGTTGGAGGGTTGGTTGGAGATTCAGAGAAGTGATGAGATGAAACAAAGAAAACCTCTGAATCACAAATGACTGAGTGTGAATGATGATTCAAACGAACCACCTCATAAATCAGGACCTTTTGATGGGAGCTAAAACTTGCCATACATCCGACGATTGCTGAGAATTGTTAAGACAGGTGTAATTCCATTTTACTCGCTCCATCTCCATCAACTTAGCTTCAATGCTGGATGTTAAGGCTGCTCAAAATAATCACTTATTTTATTGTATAGTACTGTACCCTTCCTAAGGATTTATGAGAAATTACCCAGGACACTGTGGAGTGATCTCTTTGGTATCTTGGTATCTTGCTGAAACGAGGGAACCCTTGTAGTTTGGTTGTTTATGAGTTTGAAAGACCAATCCCCTCGGTCTGTTTTTGTTGAGGTTGGCAAAAAGATTCTTGCCATGTCAATTGAGATGACTCAGTTGCAATCCATTATCGGGTAATTCTACAAAATAACTTTTAACGACCATTCATTAATTTTATCAGCCCGAATCATAGCTTTTTGTCAATCACTGGAAAGTTTAATCTGAATGGAACTAACTATGTTCAAACTGTACACAATTATCAAAAGTTTTGCATGCAGTTTTGAGAATTAGGTCATATCATGCGAAAGTAAAAGAATTTTTTCAGGCAGAGCGAAAGGTATATGAAAAGTTTTCTCTTCACAAAATGTGCAGTTTTTCATAGATTTGCTATAGATCTGTATGCTTATTACATATAACTTTATTTATGACATTTAAATGAAAAATTCTTCAACTTTGTAGGTCCTTAGTGATAACTCTACATTTGGATCTGGTTGCCTAACAACAAGGCTGTAGTGTACGTGATCTTATTCAGGGCTTTGAGGGGCTAACTATAGCATCATTTTACAGAATTCACTTCCCTCGATTAGTACTATGAGGAAATTCTAGCAGACAGACGATATTACAATTGTTGCCATCTGACCTCCATAAACACGTGCCGCTGATAAGACAACATTTTACTGTTTAAGGTTGCTGATAAGGAGGGGCGCTATTTGTATGTTACAGCCGGAATCAGCCATAATCTTACGAGAATTGACTACCTGCAAATGTTAGTAATGCACAGAAAATGTGTTCAGAGATAGAGAGTCAAAAGTCTGTACTCGAGGGTGTTTCTTAGCATTACCTGCAACCATTCCAATATTCAAGAGTATCATTCGAGAGTTCCTGGTCATCGCTACATCGTGGGGACTAGGTTGTATGTACGTGACCTAATTGGGTAAGTAAGCTCCACTTGTGCATGACGGGACGTCGGTGACAAGTACAAGACTACAATCCACATTCATAAGCCAGAATCGGAGAAACTATTGTTTGAGTGGTACAGATGGTGAGCATCATTGACTTGCTCCCGCTGATCGATTAAGTTTTTCGTGGCATGTCCAGAAGGTCGGTAGCGTGTAATCGGAATCCACCGAATCGAACTGTGTGAGCATTAAAATGTACTGTTTCTTCATTCTGAAGGGGATCCCTAACCAGGGCATAGAAATGTTCGTGATCCCAACTTCGAATGGAAAAAGTTGCTTTCAATTTCGTTAAGTCTTCAAAAAGTTGGTAGATTGTTTGGAGGATCGAGAAATCTTCCTGCGGTCAAAAAAGCAACGACTAGACAACATGAGACTCTGGTACCATGAAACAATACTATAGAAAACAAAATTACACTCTTCCACTTGAGGAGGCTTTCACAATGAGATTTATGACCATTTGTTGTGGAAGAATCTCGATAACCTTGTGGAAAGATGAAAAAGAATTTATATGCTTCCAAATAAGACTTATTTATTCAATTTTCATTTCATAAATTAACTCCTTTAAGGGAATTCATGCATGGGTGATTTGTTCATCGGCCCTTTTATCCACCGAGGTAGCCGCCGTGATGGTGAGAAGCCCGAGTGAATCGTGGCGATTTACAAATCGACCACAACTACTGCATAACCACGGTGGGACTAGTTTTGTATTAGCGCACTACGCCTGACTATATGTATGTTCAGAGCAATAAACACCAGTAAAGAACCAGTTGGATAACATCCAAATACAGACGGCCGTGGCTATCATGTGGCTGGCTAGCTGGATTATGTTGGAGAGTGGTATCGATAGGGGAGAAGTGGCAGTAATGAACTTGAATATGTTTTTTCTGGGCCTAATTGAGGGTAGAATATCACCTGCTGCTCCTCATGCGCTTCAGCTCCCAATGGCCAAGGCGGTGCGTCTGGCTGAGCACATTCCCGCATAGAGCTCTAAAACAGCCTATTTCATAATTCTCGCCTAGAAAGCATAAAAAATGGGAAAGTAGAAAAGAAAAAGGTAGGCGCATAAAAACAATGTATTCAGATCAATTGCATAGTAAAATACATTTGAAAGAATAAATTAAATAGACAGTAGTAAAGTAGCGAATCCAACGGAGTAGTATAACACTGTGCTGAAATGCCCAACTCAAAAAAAAAAAAGTGATAGCGTGATTGAGGGTGGTAGATGCAGTCAGAATACGCCATGCTTACCTTCAGAACCTTTCACCCTCGTAGTTTTTATAGGAATTAGCACTGTCGGCAAGTTTCCTATGGGCTGGTTGATCCATGTCTAATTTTTCCATCGCATTAGTTCGACAGAATGTTTTTCTATTACCAGTTCTGGCCATGCACTATTTCACCGTTAAGGCAATCATTAGGAAATAGGAACTCCTGAACTTCTTGTGCCCTCTTTCGTAAGAAAGTAACGGCCATTTCGTTGTCTTCGAACCAATTTTTCATCTGATGTCCGCAGACGCTTGCGTTACATCCTACCCTGACGGTTTAACTTGTAGCATTCCCATCATGTTCCCTCGCTACAAGATTAGCCAGACCTTTATAGAGCAAAACCATGTTCAGGTCCTGCCCGATATATGATCAAATAGGTGATGCATCTCGAAAAAAAAACTAATCACGACAGAGCGTAGTACGTTTTCTTTGTGGCACTGTGTAATGGACTTCAGCGGTTGGGAGTTTAGATAAATTCTTGTAATTTAGGAAAGGAACTATTAACAAATTTGATTCGTCAATACCTTGACTGAACCACTAACTAAGTATGCGAGAAACCTACAAAACTAGGAGGAAAAGAAATGAAAACAATAAAGTGAGTGAGGGGAAAACGAACGTTTCAACTCGGATTTGGATGAGTCTTACTTTGACTGATTTATGGGCTTTTCAAGGATCATAGGTTCTAAAAGCTAGCCATTAACTCATAAACTAATCAAAATGTAAGAAGTAGCGGCTTTGTGGTTCATGAGGATCGCGATTTTATCGATTATGTAAAGAAATCTAGATCAATATCAGAATGGAAGCGGGAGGGTTCTGGTTGAAATGCCCCAATAATAGGAAAACTGGGAACTAGTCCCTTATTTACTGCATTCTGTCCAGGTGCTCTTGAGAGTAAGTCAAACAGAAAATGGGTGGCAAACTGACCGCGTGTTAGGCCTGTTCTGGGGTTTGGAAATAATAATCGTATTCATGACAGTACTGTAACAGTACTAATAAAATCGAAATCGACATTTAGGCCTTCCAAACGGTTGGACTTCATAAGGATTTGCATACGCCGATTTCAGGTCCAGAAAAACCCTAGACCCTTGATATCCTGACCCCACCACAACAGGAAGATGTCTTCGTGCTATGTAATGAACTGTTTCGACTGTTCTTACTCGCTCAGTGCAAATGAAATTGATGATAATAAGTCACTACCATGGCCGTACTTTTTTTGGCCTTTCCACGTCTCACGTAGCTGTCAGAACTTACGTTGTTAAGCGATCCATTACCAGAATCGGCGGACGTCGTCGATTGCGCATCGATGGTGTCGTCGGCAGCAGCCGAACGCTCAGATTTCAGCGGTTCGCTATCGGAGACGGTCGGCACCGCAATTGCGGACATCTGAAACCGCGATCGAGTCAATTAACGACGTTACTTGGCGACGAATAGCTTTTCGCACGAGCACGGCAACAGAATTCAACTGAGCAGATTCTTACAAACGACTGGAGGAAAACAGTGAAGGCGCATTCTTGGCCGGCCACCACAGGCAGCCACCAAGCGTCGATGGTGGCGGCGCAGACTGTGTAACA